TTATTATTCGAAATTAGCTCACTATCAACTAAACTTGAACAAGGAATCGAACCTGTCATAATTCCTGAATAAAAGAAAATAAATTAAAATTACAACTTCAATATTATCATTATATGACTAAGAAAACTTAAAAATTCATATTACTTTAAATATCTATCTCCTAACTTATAATAAGAAATAAGAATTATTATTATTATAATAATGAAAATACATTAACCTAATACCTACTTCCTCGAATTCTAAAAGGTTTAATTCTATTAGCATGGACTACCTTTATTCTATAACTTCCTAACCTTCTTATTATAACATTATTATTATCAATTGGTCGTATTATCTGATAAGGAAATCTGTCTTCATATTTGTCTACATTCAACCTATTCAACCTAACCTTAATGAGGTCAGTCTTTTCCTTACGACAATTTAAGTAATGTATCCTATCTTTTCTATTGTGAAAACTTTTCTGAAAAGAAAACGATTTAAATGCATTTTGTCTATAGCTCCTCATATAAAATTTGACATTTCTATCTCTAATGTCATGTGATGATTTCACATTTCGGTCTAAATTGCTATTATAAAAAATTAATGTTTTCTAAAGATCTTATGTTGTTTATGAATTTTTCTATGAACAAAATTCTTATTATTTGTATTTTCTCTCTGTAAAGAAGACCTATCTTTTAAAACTAAATTCTTATTATTATTATTATTATCCTTGAACGACTTAAGAGAAATATTAATATTAGGACATTCTTTATTTGCGTTCACTACACGTGACTTATGCAAATATTTATCATTTTCTTTATAAGAATATAAATAATTATTATAGACATCGACAACATTATTCTCTTTTATCAATTCAGACTTTGTCAAAAATTGACATGCAATGTGTTTGACAAATAATTGATGCCTACTAAAATCTATGACAATATTATGAGAAAATAGAAAATCTTGTCCTATTATCATGTCTCGATCAATATTTTTAACAACATAAAAATCATGAATGAACAAGACATGTTCAATAATAATCTTCAAATTGACTTTACCGATTACTTCGAGAGTCACATTATTCACTGCCCTAAGTGACATATCACATGGCACAATATCGTGACGGAGTTCATACGCGGCACGATCCGAAATGACCGAAAATGACGCACCAGTATCAATGAGCGAAATAAATTTTCTATCACGACACGACACTTTAATAAATGGTTGAAACTCACGTGCGTATAATATATTCTTTAAACGAGGCGACTGCTTGTACTCTGCTATCACTTCTATCGCCTCTGCTGCTTTTGTGTGGCTTTCACTATTCTTCTTAATCATCATTGGCTGCGGCTTTGTATTATTTCTTGGTCTGAAATTATAATGGCAGGGCATCATCTGATCGGGAGGTGTTATTTTATGAGGGGTGAATGATGGAGAACTATATGTTCTAGTGGGTCGAATCGATGTTGAAGGTCGCTGATCTCCTTGTCCGCCTTGTGTGCTAGAGGAAGGAAGAACATCTACAATATTTGTTAATTTTATAGGTAAATTAATGTCCACTTCTCCATCCCCTCTATTATAAATTTCTTTCAATTGTTTAATCACGTCCTTCAACTGTTGTTTATTCGAATACAACTGCGATCCTAAACGCCCTTTGGTTTGAAAATTTGCTGCCCCAAGAAAATGCTGGATGAAGCATTTATCATCAATTGCCGCCCCTGCTTTACATCCTAAATAATCTAACGAATAAAAATAATTGAGTGGGTCCTCCGTTGCACCCTGTCTTCTTGCAAAAAAATTTGCGAGAGGATTTGCAGTTGAAGAGAACTCCTCGCTGATTTGTTTCTCAAGTTCCTGAAATGTCTCAAAATTATCTTTTATGTTTTTATAAAATAACAGTGCAGGTCCCGCTAAATACGCCGCCAACACTATTTTTTTAGTCGACTCTTGATATCCGTTTGCTGCTACTATAATATTAAATTGGGAAAAAAAATCAGCCACATCACCTTTTAATCCGTCGTATTTCTCCATAATCTTCGTTTTCTTGTTTTTCGTTTTTTCTCCGCTTGGCTTACGAGAGGTATCGTTATATTTCGAAACGTTGCGCCTCCACCATATGGCGACTTATGGCAACTTAGTCTAATGGTGGAGGTGGGTGGCGCAATGAAAAAACTGGTAGCACTCCTTAGTCTTGATTTATTTCTGATAAGAATTACATTTAAACACTTACAATAATTATACTACGATGCTCACCCTAAGCTGGTCTCGATCAGAAAAAAAACTATTCACCAGCAAAACACGAACACGCGAATTCGAATATGAAAAAGTAATAATTTAAAATATTAACGGCCAGCACTTGACCATAAACCGTCCGAAGAGTAAACCCTACCTATAGTAATGTGCTCGGACGTTACAGTACCTACGCATTTTGGTTTAAAGCTAATAATGCAAACTTTGTTTTGTCATATACATAGGGTATAAAATAGATAACATATTCTCAGACCTACTGAATATGCATAAAAATATCAAAATGGGTCAATCCGTTTTGGAGGAGTGTGGTAACTTTGTTATGTTGTTATATTTTAAATTAATCTTGAGGAAAAAATAAAACTGACTTCAAAAACGTGAAATAATACACATTTTTGAGGGCCTCCGTAGCCGCTAGTGCGGCTAGTGCGTCGGTTTCAAGGTGTCGCCATCCCTTTCGGTCTCGGTTCGATCCCCCAATACAGACAATGAACTATTCTATGCTGTCTTCGTTTAATTACAATTTTGTATGTACTAAAAGAAGTACTTGGACATGTGTTGTCAGCGGAAGCAATACTTGAGGGACAAAAGATGGATCAACCGAATCGTTGATTATTATGGTTTCATACAGTCAAGGTCGTCACCCACATCATTCTTCGAGTGATCCTATCGTTCTGAAAAGTCTATGGCTCAGGAAAGGTAACATTTTATTTAAAAAAATAAATATTAATGATGACAAAACAGAAAAATATCCTGTGTTCATATTGATAAAATTTAGTTGTAAACTATGAAACCATTCCAAGGAAGACTGTAAGCTCATATCCTATACTCCTAGTCGAACACCATTACTCCGTCCGTTGGTGAAATATGTTCTGTAGTGAAAACCGTATTATAACGAAGGTCAAAATAGTAGCTTTCAAAATGGAGATGACAATATTAACTGAAACATGCACTTCATGAAATAATAGAAACAATACAAATTTCGATTTAAGTCATTTATTTATTTTCGTCCCATATCATCTAGTACACATATGACATTTTCAGTATTTTACGTACAATTAAAATTGACTACTACTTCATTAATATATCACTAGAGTTGCCTGATAATTTTATTATAATCGACTTCAATAAGCTTCAAAGAGAATGTTCATGTTAATATCGGAAATGTTCAGGCAACTCTAGTGCATTACATACAAATAAGAAAATAAACAACAATGAAAACAAAGTTTTCGTTTTATATTAATAATTATGATGTAATTTTCAATAATATAAAAGTTATTGACCTTCACAACATAATAACAACAATAATAACAAATAATACATAAACATCCTATAATAACTTAACGAGGGTCCGATATTATGGAAACTTAACCAGCTTCAAGCTGAGAAATAAATTTTAAAATAGAGTGCGTCAATATCCAAATCATAATAATAATGGATTTAATATGAGACATTATGCTAATATTCTCGACTATTGTATACTGTTTGACATTGCTTTTGCAAAATCGAAGTGATTAGTTAAAATACAACTATGAGATTTAAGTTTGTAACCACTACATACATCAATAATCATCCAATTTGAGTAACCTGAGATGAGAATACTGTTAAGTACATATACTGTGTAATTAACTGTGCGTGTAACTTCGTCTGTGTGGGAATGTTAATATGAAGAATACTTGGTGGCCGCCGTATACTTGGTGGTGATATATATACAAAATATTATGTCCGACGAAAATTCTTTAAAATTACTGTTAGATATACCAACGCGCATGGTGTCGTGTATCACGTGGTATGTAGTGTGTTCAATCTCAACTAAACCCAAATTTTGACGAGGTTGATCATACTTCAATATAATTCAATATAACAGTAATTTTAAAGCAATTCCATAATATCATTGTCGGATATAATATTTTGTATATGTATCCCCACCAGCGATATGGAGTGAAGATATAGATAGATAGAATTTAAAAATATGCTTATTGAAATAAAACAAAGACGAAATGTTTAGGGAAGTTTGCCTAAATAAAACATTGAAAGCTACATTTGAATCGGTTGTGTTTTTTTAGAGATTAACGTGCACAAATGCACAAACAAACAGGCAAAGACAAAAGATATTACTTTGGGTTCTATGTATTACATTGATAAATGCCCCCAATTAAAGTTATTTTCATATATCTTCCATGCACAGACAACTATTAGTTACATATTAATTATATTAATAGATAAGTGGAGTTATATTATTTTAAGTCTTTTCTTATTGTAACCGACAATATTTTATAATAAGTTTACTATTATACTTCCTAAATATTAGAAATTATTGAATTATATAGTGAGTGATATATGTTACCATAACTACGAAGGATCATCAACAATAAGCACACAAATATCACACAAAGAAAACAATATATAAAGATTTAAAAAAATAAACAGTAAAAAAATTAACTAAAAAATTATAACTTTTCACTGGATAGACTGTAGGTATGTAATAATAAAAATTCTAAAAAAGATTTATCTACCAATGTTAATCTTACGAATCCACATATGAAATATCGATGACTAATCCACTAAACATTTATTGAACTTTATGATAACATTCAGATGGTTGAAATTGTTAAGACATTTTAGACTGTCCATAATACAATATGCTTTAATCGGAAACATTTAACGATTATAATGAGCTGTCTAATTGTAATATTATAAAACGGAGCCTAGTAAATATAGGCCAAGCAGATGAAATAGTAGATATATCATCGAATCGTAAACTTAAATATTTAAATGCCGCTTTCTTGGTTATCGTTGTCCGACTCGTCTTGTCTGTTTGATCTGAAATTAAATATATTGATTAAAATAAATATATTCAGACACCGACAAAATTTACGTACTTATTCTAAAAAAAATACAAATATAAGTAGTTGAAACAGTCCATTTCAATTAACCATTACATGGACGTGATTAGAGAACGAATGCCGAGATAAAATGAGATTACACAGAGATACATTTATATCGAAACCAAATCAAAAACATTGAATCTTTTTGAAAGCTTATAATTAACTTGCCTTGTTAGTATGTTAGTTAGTACGCAAATTTTGGAACTCAAATTTGATTCACTTCCCAATGTCCAATAGATTTGAAATTTTGCATAGACATGTAAGATAGATGACAATGCAATATTATGGAGTCAGTAAGCTGATATGATGATGAAGCCGGAAGTTGGTCATAGGAACTCAGTGATGAAATGACGCAACTGCATAGTGTTTGGACTTTTTAGAACCCACTTTATGAGAACAACAACTTATTGAGACAAAAATAAAAGAAAATATAAAATAATATATAAAAAATAAAAAAACAGGCTTTTATTTCTGCATACTAAAACGTAAATAGTGCGCACAAATAAAGGCTTGTTTTAAAAAAGTATTCGTCTCCGATTTCATTAGCGCTACAAGCTTTTTAAGTCAATAGTGCCTGTTAGGGGAAATTTTAATTGTAAGCACTTTAAATGATTGGAATGTATTTATTTACGTTTTAATGTACACAAAATAAAGCTTGTTTTTAAAAATACCTTTTTTTTATTATGCATATTTTTTTTAGATTTAAATAAATAAATATTCTTGTAGAGTGCGCAACACTAACATCCCTAGTTGATGATTATTAGAAAAAGTTATTGTGAAAGAAAATCGTTAAGAATAAGAAATAATTTTAACAAATTTTATTCTTATCTATTTCCTTTATAAGAATAAAGAAAATAGAAGCAGAAATAACATAATAGGGTAGTTTCGGTCATGAAAAATAAGTCACGAAATTACACAAAGATTAAAATTTACATCGTTATTAACATAGAGAATGATTATCTTATTTTCTCAATATTAAAATCCGCGAGTTTTGTCTGTGTGTCACGTGATTTGAAACTTGACCCTGTGTAACGTCACTGTAGCGACAACTGTCAGATTAGACTATCGCGAGTGTATTTGCCGTTAGCGACACTAATGTAGGGTCCTCGAAATGGTACTTATCATTGTATATAGCGGGCCACGAAGGTTTGGTCTCTTAGTTTTCTCAAAATTATTTTGAAGGGGTACTGTCATCCCTGAGAATAACTACTAACCTAAAGATAAAACAGTTATCTTTCACTAACTTATGTCTACCACTTTTGTATTACAAATACGGGCGTGTTCAATATATATTATAATAGTTCAATTTATAATTCGAAACCTTGTTATGGCGCCCGCCGTTATAAAATTGACAGCAGCATTCAACAGCTATATGCGAAAGGGAGTCACGACGGGGAGAGGTATCAAGACACATCACGTTTATGTTAAGTTTTTTTACTTTAAAAACCATCATTACATAATAACATAAATAACGTAAATTATTGAAAATATATAAATTTATAGGAAAATCCAGATCTCCCCGTCTTGCCCCCACCCTGGGTAAGATGGAGTACCTAAGAGGCAGGTTTGCTCAAATCTATTAATTTTCGCTAACTATTCCCACGTTAACGTCGAATCTTCATCTTCGTCATATATACCAACACAGCTACAGCGTACCAATTGTACCCATTTACCACATGCCAAGCAAGTCGCCTAACCTTCATTTGACTTCAAATAACAACCTACATACAATACAAACATAGTACATTTTCAACTTCACAATTGCTAGCGCTACTGTCTATTAATAGCCAAACCTTAGATACATTTTTCTTTTTATTAACCGCCGGTTTCTTAAGTTCTTTTACCCCTTGCACCATCTTGCCCTTTCATGCCAAATTGAATTTAAATGTTAACCTCTAAAAACAATGTTCTCAAGTAATATTAAAGTGCTTATATACTAGCTTAGTTGTAGAACAATATAAATAACTTTATGTGTATTTCGAAATTTCATTATTCATTCACGGAACAGAGTTAGCAACTGAAGTACCTACAAAAACGCTAACAAAATTGCAATAAATCAATATTTTTTATTTTGTTGCTTTAAAAACTGCACGTTGTTATTCAGTGTCTTTTTTAAGTAATAACTGCCTTGATGGAGCTTCATCATGTACAAAAACTACTACAATTGGTCAATTAGTTTCCAATTGCGAGGACTATCTCGTTTTGCTCGCCGTCCCCTACTGCCTTTATAAGCGTAAAATCACTTTTTGACAAAAACAAAAAGTGCTTCATAAGAAGCTGTATACTTTAGAACCTTACTTTCCAGTGGCGCCAACTGGCGTGCGCTAAATAATATTTTTGCGTCCTTACTTGGGTGAGTTAAGGAATCGTGCGGCAGAAGCGTAACGGTGCGGATCAAATTCTTCGGAGTTGTGTGCCCGAGTGAGAGCCATATTCCGCAAGCGTTCGCGGAAAGCGAGACGGATTGCGCTGTCGCTCTCCGCCCTCTCCATCGGCAATACGAGCGAATCGTCGTGCGATGACACCTCGCTCACGCTCTCTACAAATGGAACAACGTTATATCACAAATGTTATATCGCTCGTCATAAGACTTGAAATTGCGACCTTGTTCTTTTTATGAGTGATATGTGGTAGTTATTGCGTCAACTTAATACCAGTAATATGGTCGGTAATATTTATTGATTATTTGATTCATCATCATCAGCCGTACAACGCCCACTGCTGAGCATAGGTCTTGCCTATAGATTTTCAAGACGATCGGCCCCGCACTGCCCGCATCCAGCGGCTTCCCGCGACCTTTGTCAGATCATCGATCCACCTGGTGAGGGGCGGCTACCCTCTGAACGTCGTTTATCGTCGTTATTCTGATAACTTACACTATATTGTATATTTCAATTATTTGACATACTTTACTAAAGTCGACTACTAGGTATATACTTTGCGTCGTGGTTTGTTTTAAAAATAACTGTGTTTTTTATATAAATATGATAATAAATAAACTAATTTATTTATTTCCTTCACAAACATATGGTTAGGTTTAGATGCACCGAATACAATTAAAAAACAAGACAGCTTTTCGACTTTGTGAATAGCTGGTATAATAGACGATAGCTTGAAATACGGGCCTACCCCACGGAGACTGCGACTATTTTCAAATGATTTAATCATTAATTAATATTTTTTACAGAATATATTTCACTTCTTTAAAAAAGAACGAAAATATTTCAAAAATTAATGCATGTCTTTATGTAAGTATGTATACACGTGTTTTTGTATGGGTTTCTATACTAAGGGGTGGGTTTTTATAATATTCTATGTCATTTATTGGATATTAAAACCATGTTATATTTGTTTTAAAAATTGAAAGTCACAAAACGAACAGTGTACATATTTTTCTTAACTGCTATTTTCACCTTCTCGTAACACCCTTTATCAGCCTACGTAGTAATTTGGTAATTAATATTTTCCTTATTTTTGAAGATAACTTACAGAGTTAACAATAAAACCAAGGTAGGACGGGCGGATAAAGCTATTAATAATATAATAGTTACCGAACTTCACTTTGGTAAATCGATTGATATGCTATTATAATGCAAAGCTTTAATCTTCAGATGTTATTGTCCAGAGAATTAAATATTGCATTAAAATAGGTATAAAATTTATTACACAATTTTCAAGTAATTAAGAGTATGTATGTCGTAGGCTAATCGATGAATCGGGCCGATCGAGATCAGTCCGGGCATATCAGAATATGCCGCCATTTCTTGATTTGGCCATCTATCATCTGCCTTATCGTTCAATGCTTAACGTTTGATGATTTATCCGACTATACTAAGGCCAATATTTTGTAAGGTGAGCAAAGTACTATGTAAGCAGAGATCAGTTTTCTCCCACCGCCCATCTCTGTATGTAAGCGAATAAAATTAAGTTTAAATAACAACTATTTGACTGGTAAATAAAAAACAGTTCTAATTTTATTTACTTTATTTACTAAAAAAACATCTTTAGTTTCAAAATTATCTTAAATTTAAATATGGGAAGTCCGGGCCAAGCGGACATATTAAGCTTTGAAAGACTATGGAATGTGATCTAATAGACAGAAATAAAAAAGTGATAGAGTATGAATCAGTCTTTAGTAAAGTTAAAAACAAAAACGTAACTTCATAACATTTCCTAATTTTTTTTATTATATTGCAACCGTCGGCGCTATCCGTTTTACCCAACCCATCGGGTAAAGTAGATAGAACCAAAGGGCAAAGTGAACACATAATCGGACTAGGAAGAATTACGAATAAAATATTAAGTAAAAAAAACAAAATGAATAAATATAATCAAGAAAGTAACTAATCACTTATCAGGGCAGTTATCATAGAGAAATATGCCTTTTACTTCATATGCCGTGTATTTTTCGTGGCTCCATTGCTTGCAAGAACTGCATTGTATCCAATCATCAACTGGTTGCCCATTAATTTCAACATAATTTTCCACGCAAAAATAGCACGTGCAGCTTTGGTCATCTTCTTTAGTTTTGAATTTAGTGTTGAAGTTAAGTTTAGCGTTACTCGCTTCAATATTTTTGGTTATGTTGGTATTTTTTTGGTCTAGTCTTTGTTTTTAAATTTTTATTAACATTTTATAATGCTTTGGTATTTGCTTTAACAAATTTGACTTTCTGTTCTCCTTTGACCGGTGTGCTAGTAAGTACCTCAGACCTTTGAATATATCTTTTGCGTGTTTCCGTGGGAACGTAAGGAGTTGGAAATGGTCTTATTTATCTTGAACTGAAATAAGCAGCAGGTGAAGTAGTAAGAGGCTCTCATATTGCAGGTTTTGTATTTGAACGTAGAGTCGAAGTACTTATTAAATCTGTAGCTCTGATCTCTGCTTGCATGTCGTTTCTCTCATTGTTGAGGTATGAACCTGAACTATTACACAAATAGGTCCAACAGTTCGACCTCCTCGTCACTAGAATCATGATCGTAAATTTCCGAAGCTTTGTTTGGTCCAGATGAACATTGAAACCCTGACGTCGTAGGTGCCGCGCCACCCGTTGCAGTTAACATATCTTGATTGGTTGTTACATGAAGTGTTGCTTTTGTATTTGCGGTATTAGGGTTCATTATTATTGTACAAGATGGTGCATAATCTTTATCTTCCCATACATCCATGTTAATTGGCCAAAGTCCTGGAGATTGAAACCCTTTAATGGCATTATTGGCAGTAGCACTTTTTAAAAATGCTGGAGTAAATAATCGAGCCACATCATATTGATTAATAATCCTTCCTGGATGAGCCTTCTGGAAGCGAATGATTTCTTGTTTAAAGTATATTTTTAACACAGAAATCTATACACAGAACTGTAAAATGGTTGTAGTTTGTTGTAGATAAGATGATAATATTATTTTGACTTGCGTATTCTAGAGCCAACTAATATTTATGGCTTTCATGATTTGAATATTTATGGCTAAAGTAGAACTCTCTTCTCTTCAGTAGGCCGATCGTGGCCAACAAAAAATTTAAATCATTAAAAATATTTCTCCATTTATCCACCGTGAAGGTGAACAAGTGCCTCGAGTTTCTGGAGGAGATCCATCCAACAGGCAATCTTTCATCCTTTTACGCGCAAATATCATAAATGGCGGAATGAAAGAACCGGCAGCGTTGCAGCAACATACAATAGTTGTAATTTGTCGACGTTTTATGCTCGGAATGACACCAAATTGCTTTTTACCTTTGACTGAAAGAACTTTGGGTGGTTTATTGGTAGAAATTTGAATACCAGTTTCGTCGACGTTTATTTATTCTGGTACCATCAATACTATGTTTTTCAGTTACGTTTTTTAAACTCTTTCCAATACTTTTGAAGATCGCCCTCCTGTTGATCATTGAAAACTTTAGGAAAACCTCCTAGCTGGGCAGTCGAAGTACCTTTTTTCTAGTGCCTATAAGAGTTGCATATGGAAGGTTATATTTTCTTACGGTCGTTTTCACATGGTTACCAGCATTGCAAGCAATAATTACGTCTTCATTCCATTGGGCTTGGTCCGTTTTTCTTTTACATTTGTAAACAATCTATAACAATATCAACGAGATTCATAAAATATAAATGATTATCTATTAAATCGGATGCTATCGGGCAAAGCGAAAATTACTTGGTGAAGTTGATACCATATCCACTTTGCCCGTGTTTGCTTTGTGCGACAGGTAACCCAAAATCAAATACAGACACAAAAGCTTAATGAATATTGCAGTAATTCAACAAGAAAACATGCACTTTACGTTAAAAATAATTCCAAAAGAGTAACACTATAGTTACAATAGTAATAATTAAAAAACGTACCTTAAAATATCGTAACAAATAATATGTTTTTATTTTTCGCCTTTTTTTCGCATACGACGCGCGACCTTGCGTTAGCACCGCTTGTTTACGACGGAGGAGAGGGCGGACCTTGTGGCAAGCTACGGACTTACGCGAACACGCCATTTTGAAATAATGTGAGGAATTGACTTTGCCTGATATATTTGCGTTGACCGGACTTCCCCTACAATTAAAGTACAATCTGAATACATAGAATCACATATTTCTTAATTATAATATTTTCAGCTCATCGACAATAACCCTGATGTTAACGTTGAAATGCCAAACTTTTAACTTGACCGATCGTGATTTTCCTGACCTAATCAAGAAATGGCGACATGTCGTAATGTGCTTGGGCAGATCTCGAACGACCCAATTCAACGATTGGCCCACGACATATATATACATAGTAATTTATGTATTAATACTTTTATGTGCCAATTAATAATTTTATATTGAGACCATATGTTGATAAAATCTACTATTTAGTGGCTGAACAAATACATTTTGTTAAAACTCTTCTTGAAAAAATATCGATAATCTTAATTTTACAAATTTAACTTAACACAAATTTATACAGTTTTGCTGTTACTAACATATTGAACAAATATATATTTTTACAAAATATCATCAGATAAAACAGTATTTTTATATTTATGGTACAATTTATCCCAATAGACGCAAGATTGTTGGTGTAGATCAAGAGGGACTTAATATAATGGAGTAGTAACGGTAGTAGCTAATTACAAAATTATATACTTATAGCATTGACGACAAAAATAAAACCGATCTGTTAATATATATCTGACGCTTTTCAAAAATTTATTGATGCTAGGTAATTTGGTGGTGTTGTTAAGAATTATAATAGGAGTACCGCCAAATTTTGCGTATGTATAATAATAATAAATCATTTATTTCAAGCATTGACACTCATATTCACAATCATAAGTTTGAAATAAATACAATTAGACTGTAAAAATAAAATTAAAAATTAAAATATGCATGAAATTATATGAAGGGTTGTAAATGATTCAGTACATAAGTTCAATTTACGTGATAAAATAGTATATTTATTAGCTAAAGCACACATACACAGTTCACAAAAGTAAACAAGGTCAAACACTAGCACAATAAGAAATGAGCAAGTATTAACATTAAAATAAGTGAAGAAAGTAAAAGGCAAAATAAATATTACATGCACTACGCGTTGTGATTACTTTATTACTACTGTATTGTTTGTGTTCCGTCGTCGCTGGCGCCGCGGCTTGCATCTTTCCGTTCGCGTGCGTAATTCTTACCTACATACTCGCTAGTGTGTAGGTCATATCGATATGGGGGATGTCGATGAATCGAGTCTTTGACGCTTTTTAATTTAATCGTGATATTTTTAAATCAATATATTAAAATTAACACTATCTATAAATTTATATTACAAAATTACTGTGTGTGATTTGGGTGGACAGTGGATTGTCAATCATATTCAATCATTCCAATTAAATGAGGTAGATAACTAAGTTTTATTCAGATTATTTTGTTAGAATTTGTTTACGCTTTTTTAAGAATGAAGCTATGCAATATAATATTTATTAATATCGGGTTGGCACAAAAGTAATGAGACACTTGGTTTAAGTTTTTACTTTTTTATTATTATTACAATAAAAAAAGTTTAGTCAATGATGTAATTACCATTAGTATCTAAGACTTCTTACCAACGATCCGGCAAAGTTTAGATGCCTTTTGCCCAGAACTCTGATGGCTGTGCCTCGAAAAAGTTGTTCAACTCCGCCTCTACGTCAGAGAAATTATTAAATTGTTTACCCCGCAAATGCTGTTTCAGGGCTCTAAACAAATGATAGTCTGATGGGCCGAGGTCTGGGGAATAAGGTGGGTGGGGTATCGTCTCCCAGCCCAAGTTCTCCAACTGCCGGCGAACCACAGATGCGACGTGAGGTCGAGCGTTATCGTGCAGTAAAACTACATTGACTCGTCTTCGTCGTTTTTTCTTGATAGCGGCAGCTAATTTGGTAAGCTGGGGTGAATATTTGTCAGCGTTTATAGTTTCATTGTGTAATAGCTCATAAAACAGTATGCCTTGCGCATCCCAGAAACAGCAAAGCAGAATTTTTCGGCGGTTCTTTTGACTCGGCTTCGGTTGAGTTGGTGGCGTTTCTTCTCGAGGCAGCCAAAAAGCACGACGTGTATCGTTCTCGTAATAAATCCATGATTCATCTCCAGTAACCAGATCTGACAAAAACTCTTTACGTCGGGGTCGCAGCAAAAGTAACTGACAGATAGTAACACGGACTGCACGACTGGCGTCTGTAAGGATGTGCGGTACCCATCGAGCCAAAACTTTTCGATAACCAAGCTCATGCAGATGGTGTTCCACGGCGTGGTGACTGCATTTAAGTGCTTATGCTAATTCACGAGTGGTAGCATCCGGATTCAACTGCAGTTCGTGGCGCAAATCGTCATCATTCACTGCGGGTGGTCGCCCTGAGCGTGGCTGACTTTCAAGGCTCCTGTCTCCTGATTTAAAACGTTCAAACCATCGGGACACCGTCGCATGGCTTGTACTTCCAGCGCCTAATGCATTGTTGATATTGTCAGCCGCAGCCCGCGCGCTGTGGCCTAACACTATACTCGTATAAGTATAGTGTTCGAACTTGTCGCTCGTCCATTTTTCTTCAAACTGACTAAACAAATCGCGAACACGGCTTTATATACCCTACACCAGAAGTACCTAGAATGTTCTACAACATTCTAGAATATTATCGAAAAAATTGATTTTAAAAAGGAAATGTTATAGATTTTTCTAGTGTGTCTCATTACTTTTGTGCCAACCCAATATATACCTGTTTTACCATACTAGTGTTGTTGATAATATACAAGGCTTCCTCACTCAATAGCAGGTAGTATGTTATTCCATATGCCCTTACTAATTATAAGTATTGACTTATGACTTAATATTTACACTTCACACTTAAATATATATTAGTCTTCAACCACAATTCAATTTCTTCCACAATAATATCACAGTTGAGATTATATATTACCATTCATAAGACCGTCGAGGTTCGCAGACGGACGAGACTGTCGCACGCATCGTCGCTTACTGGACGGCATCCCTGAGAGGTAAGCATCGCTGTAGGGCTCCGACGGTTCCGGCTGTTGAGCCTGTTGGTCGCGTGTAAACACTGGTACCCATTCCTCACCCCAATGCTGTAGAATCACTATCGGTGGTACCTGACGGTTATGAGTGAATAACAAACATGATAGTACTTATTATCCATAAACAATTTCCTAACTGCCGACGAATAACTAAGAGCCAGAGAAACTTGCGACACGAGTTTTCAAACGAGAAAATATTGTGTAGTTCAGATAGTTTTTCACTGAATTCGTGACTACATACAGTTATTCGTACCACTCCTATTTAAATGGGATCAATTTTTATAATCCTTTCTCTCAAAATAATGGCTGAAAATCCGTTGGTAACTAATAAATTTTAATAAATACAATTTTTTTTTAATAATCATATAGTTTTCCAAATTGATGAAAAAAAAACCTAAAATACCATTTAAATCATAATCTGTTTTTTTTATGTTGCAACATAATACAAAGGTGTTATTGCATCGATGTTATATTTTTATTACAACGACATTCCTATATTCCTATAGCATTGCGTTTGAGTGTTCTGAATATACTAATTTTTTTGTACTTTTAATAATTATTTAAAAAAATATTTACATAGACATTGAACAAAAGTAAAAATGTTAGTAAGAAAATATATTTAATCCATTTCCGAATTAAATATTCCATGGTCATTGTCTTTCTAAAGCGCATTTTGTTCATGCTGACCTAGTCAACTTACAAAAATAACATTTTTCTACTTACAATGCGGATATCTTGATCAGAGCTAGTGCTTTGTGAAGTTACAGTGCTGGTTGTCTTGGTTTTATTTACTCTGCATAAAATGAATTACATAATTATGTTGACGAATTGAAAATAAAAACTGAAGCGACTTGTGTCAGAAGTTAAATTATATCATCATAAATAAATAAGTAGAAATATGACAATGAGAATACGGGTGTATACGACTGCAGAGATGGCCAGCCAGGATCAAAGGTATAACGTGGATGAAGGTCATGAAAGATAACCCATCTGATAACCATCCTTTAAGGTTGCTTAACCACCGCAATCAAAGTCCAAAGGCACTCCTAATTTATTTTTTTCAAAAAATTGTATCACTTCATGTGACAGTATATATTAACAATCATAATTGTAACAAACCTTGGACAAGGTACGATTGGCGAGTCCACGGAAATCGTATTAGTGCTGCTGGCGACTGTTGGAGACTGCATGGGCAATGTGTTGAGATCGGGTTCAGTGACCGTCGGGGTTGTTATCCACGTTGATGGCGTCGCTTCGCTTGTGTCAGACGGCGTGGACGGCGGCGTGGTCTGTATCGGTTCGTTTTGCGGACTCAAAGACGGAATGACTACCGTTCTTTGTTGTTCGTCTTCCGTTGGTTCAGGACTCGAAAACTTTAACGAGCACAATACAAACTATAACCAATAGCGCTCTTACTTAAAATACATATGAGCATAAATATGGTCGGGAATGTAAATATGATGATATAAAAATAGATATGTAAGATAGAATTAGCCGTAAATAACCGACTTACGTAACACAGTAAAATTACAAAAACAATCCAATTACATAATTCGCGCTTAACTTCACGTCATTAATCTAATAAGACTTCACAACACTATTATTCACCGCTATAGTTATCGCTTCAGATTACTCTCGCTTTCAGATCGCTTTTTCTCTGAAGAATGCCGGGACTGATAGTCAACCGTATTTATAGGGCCCGAAACCACATCTTGAATGTTCTAGGATACGACCTAGAAAATTCCAGACGTTACCAAAAAGTTATAGAACGTAGAATACCTAGCCATTCCTTTCTTTCCCAGAGACTGTCCATTTCTCGACGACCCGATGTATACCTATATAACACAGGCAGTCTCAACAGTGTTAACGCGTGGTTGCGCTCCGTAAAAATATTATTATTCACCGGAACATCGTTATACGAAAGCAATATATTACTATCTTACTAGGAATATAATTATTCAAATTTAGTAATATAATTATAACACTAAATTGATAACTTGATTAAGTTTAGTGAAATAATAATTGTGGGAAGGTATTGCGAAGATGCGGCGACGAGGGTATTCTATTGTCTTATTAATCTGACGCAGGATTATGATAAAGACAAGATTTTGATCCAGATCTGGAGAATAATAATAGTTAAAAAGTTGGAAGAGCTCAAGATAACAGAGCACAGATATACCCCCTCTATAATTAACTACTATAGGTCACGGTGATAGGTTAGAAATTTCGTTTTCAATTTCAAGGTTTTTTTTCAGACTACAGAATCACAAAACCCTTACGTATAAACATATTATTTCAGTAAATCAGTAGATTTCTTTTTGTTATTTTTATTTTCTGTCCTTGATTTTTTTTTAAGAGAAAATAACGGCCTATCTAAATTTTACACTTACTGGCTCTAGGTTTAAAAATTGGTTTCATCATAAACCTAAACAGTTATATTGTAGCCGTATGATAGAAGTGAAACAATTTCATCTATCTTCCGGCATTTAATTATATTCCTTAGGATATAACTAATTCTACCTTAATGTGACACATACATCATACCCTTTAAGTAAAATATGTTACGTCATATCAGGAACTAATTATACATAACAGCTAACATAAAAATAACTTTTTTTATGGGATAGGGGGCAGAGGAGCAGACGGATCACCTGATGGTAAGTGATTACCGTCGCCCATGGACACCTGCAACACCAGAGGGGCTACAAGCGCTGCTGGCCTTGGAGGGAAGGGTTGAGGGGTAGAGGGAAGGGAATAGGGAGGGGTTGGGCCTCACACGACGAAGCATAACGCAAGCGTTGCTTCACGTCGGTTTTCTGTGAGGCCGTGGTATCACTCCGGTCGAGCCGGCCCATTCATGCCGAAGCGTGGCTATTCATAATTAAGTTAATTTTGTGATTAAAACTGCATCAAAAATCTGTAATTTTAAATTAGATTCGCACAAATAATGACGGCTAAATAAACTGTAATAAAAAATTAAAAACTACATCATAATTGTAAGGGCTTTGTTTAAAAATAATAAAAGCTTTTCTAATGAATATTGATATAATAAATAAGATGTTTTTCTTAATGCATATCATTTATTATACTAAACGCGAGTATTTTATAACCAAGTAAAAGTATATAAAAAAAACACTTTATTCTTTATTTTGATTATGTTTATACGAATAAATCTAAATTGAACACAATATTATTCAAAACTTACATCAGACGACGTCATGTCTCTTCGACGAACAAATTGTGCGATCGATATCGGGTGATTGGTAAGGTGGCTCAGGATGCCCACCATATTATCCAAGCCGAAGATGCGCATCGACGTACGAATCGGTTCGTCAAATTGGCTCACTACCCGGTTCTGATATAATGAAAATGCATTAATATTATTTTGACAATATTTGCCTGTTTTACAATTGAATTGATGAGGTTACAATTTTTTGGGAAAAAAATTGAAACAGGAATAACAACATTTCTGAAATAATTTCTCTAAACAGTTTTAATACAATTTTTTTTATTATTATATTACACATAATAGTAATATTAGGCAACATCACATAGATTGCTCAGATCCCAATTTAATTAGCACATGTAATATTGAACTCAAATAACGAAAATAACACAACACCTGGGTGATCTTAAGATTGGTCTCAATACAATATGAAATTATAATATTATAAGAACATTTCATTTTTCAACAAAAGCCCTGTTAGCCAAGTATCCATTTGAGGCGACTATTCACCTTTTACCTTAATGTAAAAACAATGACTTTAATAAATACAACTAGTACTTCTGTAGGTAAGTATTGGAACTTACCCCGATTTAAAATATATTGTTTCGTTTTTACTAACTTTAAAGAAAAGTCGATAAAATGCTTTAGAATGCGTAGACATTTAACTAGCCTATTATACTGCTATTTGAACAATGAATCCGCGAGTCTTTTACAATACGCGCTGAGTACGATGCAATTATAATATGCGTACTTCACCATCAAGGCTAGCCTACCTGCCACGCCCACAAGGCCATTTTAACATCGTTATATGTTCTGTGTGTGCTACTCACCAAGTATGCCATATGAAGTTTTCGTAATCCTTGCACTCCCTCCGTACACATGTGGCTTACCAGCGCACATAGCTCCTTATAAATTTGAAAGAACATCGCGTAGAAACGCATCACGTACAATTCATTAGTCGAGCGGGACATAACAGTAGCGATTACAGTCGGCAGCCGCGCCCGGATCAACGTACGGATCGATTCAACTGAGTCAATATCTTCACGGATGCCGGTAATGCTTCCCTGGAAAAAGATCACTTACTTATTCTAGAGTTTTACCATAAAATACAAGAACACGTATGCATCAAATTTATACTACTAAACGTCAAATTTATGTAGTTATTTTCTTCTGTTAATAGTTAGTATTATACTGACACTGAGTAGCTCGGTGTCCAATATCGTTGTCGTTAAGCAAACTTTCGAAAGGGTCGGTCACGGGATGGGTGACCAAAAAAATTATTATCTGAGCTACTCCGTGCTTCGGAAGGCACGTTAAGCCGTTGGTCCCGGCTGCATTTGCAGTTGTTAATACCTTCCAATCCGCATTGGGCCAGCGTGGAGGGTCATGGCCCATCCCCCTTAACCATCCATAAGGAAGGCCTGAGCCCCTGCAGTAGGGACGTTAAAGGGCTGATGATGATGATAATGTTGATATACTGACACTATAATACTAAATTATACTGATGTTATTCAATAGAAACCAAGCTGCATATTAACATTTCAATTTTATCAGATACTTAAAATAGGCTACCATATTTTCGATGAAATCCTCATTCTTATCGACCAGATAATCGGAGACGATCTGGGGCGCGTTGTCACATTTTTCGAAGGGATGGATCAAGCGCTTTACGTAACTGCACAGCTGTACTCTGACTTGTCTAAACTCATTAGGGAGTAGTGCGGGATCATCGCCAGACGCATGAAGCAAATCAGACATGTACTGCTGACGAGCCTGTTATAACCAAATACACCCTATTTATTTGTTCTTCACACGAAATTAGTTATAAGGACACAGGTAAGTATGTAAAAGTAAATTCATATGCTCGGTAATATTGTAATTATAGACGATACTCTTCAGTGACATATTATTATATTGTATCAATACAAAAAAAAAAAGATATTATTATAACTAGATGTCTCGGCAGACCTCGTTCTGTCCTTTTTCTCTAAAATAGTTACCAAAGAAAATCAACGCATCTTTGTTTTGCTTTGATGGACGTCAAATATTTGAAAGTTAGTTTGTGCTAGAGACAGTGGTATGTATGGAAAAAGGTTTTTTTTGTTATCCTTATATATTTATATATTTTCTCTCTATAAGAACCTTCTTCAGGCTTCATCAAAAAACACCACAAATAGAAATCAGCCAAATCGATTCAGCCGTTCTCGAGTTTTGCGCTTATTTATAAAGTTATTAGAAAACTAGCTTTTGCGGTCAACTTCGTTGTCACTATATTTATTTTGGGCAGCATTTATAAAAACGCTACAATAAATATTTTTCATTACATCATGTGAAATACCTGAATATAAAATTTCATGATTTTAATTATGACAATGACCAACTTCCATGCAAACTTTAATTCCCAATGTCCCTTATAACACAATAAACAGCAACGTATATCGTATGTCTTAAACTCAACTCTGTTTAGCAGGTTAGGTAGACATGAGAGCCTAACAAACATATACATAGATCTACTTTTTTACTTCATATACACATATTCTCCCCATTTCGTCATACATAAGTATAATAAAGAGATTATTATATGATATAATAATTATTATTATAGTTACCAAAATAAAAAGACTAAGAGAAATATATAATAAATTAATATGTTGTAAATAGCTCGACGGCGCAGTGGTTACCGCACTCAGTCTGCGATACAGTTGGTAACCAACCCAAGGGCCGGTCATAGGATGGGTGACAAAAATTTATTGCTACGTAAGGTACATTAAGCCGTAGGCCTCGGATACATCTGCAGTAGTTAACACTCACCAATCCGCACTGGGTCCGCGTGGTGAGTTGTGGCCCATTATTCCTATTAGATTTAATTTGATTCTATCCACAAGGAAGGCCTGAGCCCTCACAGTGTGGAAAACCAACCAACCATAGTCGTAACCAACCAACTGGTTAACTGTTAAGGATCACGATACGAAACACAATTATTAATTTTATAAATAGCAAAACATCCGCTATATAAAGAAAAAAATACTCTGATTTTCAACTTCGAAAACTACAATATCAACGCCTACATCAAAAAGCTGTATTTACCTGCTGTACCTGTAATTAACCTATTAATGTCTAATTTGTAGTAATTTATATCTGAAAACTTTAAAACTATTTATTGAATTTGAAATACAGATAGTTGCCTAAAAAAACACAAATCTAACGCAAATTTTACACAAATCAAAACTTGTGTGAGTGCGATGTAGAAATATACTAAACGCCATCTAGTATATCTCAAAAATATAGAAAATATATTTAGTTACGCATATATAATAATATAATCAAAAATTTGAATTCAAAATGTAACATTTTTTATAAATTATATACCTACTTAAATACCAATTTTATTACTATATTATAAGGAAATCTTTACAAAAATTATTAAATAGATTTATTACAATGGCAATACAATTAATAGTAAATAATGGTTGCTATAATAACATTTTGATTCCCCATAAAAACTTCGGCTAAAGGACAAGCATTCAAGCCAAGAATAAACTATTAAAAAAAAAAACCATAAAAACTTCCATTCCCATTTTCATCACTTTAAGTGCAGTGCAGTGCAGGTCAATAGATATCTCAGGACATCTCTTTTTATAATTATTTAATAATTATATTCAATATAATATCAATCACAAATATATTACTTACGATTGCCACCATTAGTGCATTGAACCATGTTGCCGAAGACGGTAAGCTATTCAAAAGGTGCATGATATTTGTCATGTGATGCTGAAAAGAAAAAACAGAATAACATTACGAGTCAAATTTATTTAATAAAAAACCTGGGGTGTAACATATTTTCTATTTATACAAATAAACCGGTATAATTTTGAAACGGATAATTATCAAGCAGGCCCGTCTTAAGCATAACAGGCGCCTGGGTACAAGCAGTGCTTTGGCGCCCCCTATCCCATCCCCATTACAGGGAATTTCCCGAAGATCATCAGTGCGGCGCCCCCCAACGTGCGGCGCCTGAGCACGTTACACACCCCTGCACCATGGGTAAAGACAGGCCTGTTATCAAGGAAGAGTTAAAGCCCGTTGAGAACATTAATTAACACCTTAGTTCGATCGATAAGTTAGTTCGATAACTAACTTACAATAATAGAACTCCTCAAAAACTTTGTATTTATTCACCGTTTTTCTACCTAATGTATTCAATTCTTATGTGATAAAATATCAAGTCAGTACTTAATTCCTTATAATAAATCATATTTTTTACTGGAATCCATTTATTTATTTATGCTTGGATCAACAGCTCCAAGCATTAACAGTACAGGAAATATTTTTTAACAATTTCAAAATTATGAATCTTGGCATGCTTAAATTATATATAAAACAACGTATACTTATAAGTAAACAAATTTTTATTACCGGCGTTAAATCAAGACGGCGATGGCGCAACGCTTCAAAGCTCCTTGTTTCTAATCTCTCAGCCCTTGTGCGCGCTTGCTGCTCGATTTGTTGCTGATGATGCTCCCTAAAAGTATAGACGATTATAATATTGCCCTAAGTGTATCGATAGTTTACCAATCATAATTTCAGTCATAAAATATATTTTAACCAAAGTTGTAAATTTGAGATATTCGACATTCGCGATGTCTCCTGCAACTTAGTTGACCGAGCACTTGCCCGATTTTCACTCTTTCATCCCTAATCCAGACTTGAGCACTGGTGTTAAGAAGCTCACTATCCGCCGTAAGATCACAATCAGTCAGAATTATTTAAATATTATATATTGAGACTATCTTTATTATAATAAAAACCCCTCTTATATTAAAAATTATCTGGTAACGGTTTTATTTATTTACAAGTGATTTAGAAAAATTATACTTGCCTACGACGCTGGAGACGGCGACGAGCGTGTTGACTATCGCACTGCAAGAACCTGTCGTAGAAAAGGCTGCCGAGTGCCAAAGTTTGTGCCTGGGCGCGAACGTTGTTAGCAGTGCGGAAAGACTGTATTCCACCTGCTCAATATGTGACATGGTCAAACATAAACAATACTCTCAAAAATATATTCTCCGCATGGGAATAAAATGGCAAAGTCTGGGAAACAATAGGCAAGCCCAAAGGTATGGATCAAAAGTTATTGAATGATTCTTATGAGAGTGGAAGTTATATCAAAGTTAAGCGTAGCGGCTTAAAAGCACAATTTTTAATTAATAATTTTGCGGAACATATTCTGCCTTGCACATTCCTTAATAAGATTTGTGATAAGTTTCTATAATTGGCATCAATCTTATTTAAAAGATTATATTCAAACGCGAGTCGCACACACGACTAATATTGAATGACCACGTTAGCCTAAATTCCTTTAGTTGTTGCATCATATGCTCTTCCGCCAATTAGAATGTAGCAATTGATATGTAAAGCTAACTAAGTATACTTCTAATAATTCTAATAGTTATCTCCTTTCTTCCCGCCCTTTGTGGTTGTATCATAAAATTAGGGGTAAAGTATGAAATTGCCCTTTTTTTGTAATAGGTTTCCTTGAATTGACATAGAATCTTCATGGTTTGAGGTTTTCGAAAGAAACTTTTTTCACATAGTTTCTATGATGTTCTTCTCTTAAAAAATGTGAAATATTTGAATATCGATTTCACCGTGCGATTTTGGTTTAAACGCTTTCGTGGTGGAAACTTCGACTTGAAGAACGAGCCACGAGGAAGACCGCCCACACAGGTGAATAATGATGAAGAGAGATGATGGAAGCCGATCCTGGTCAAACTATCCAGGAATTAGAGGCATGGTTTTACGTTACCTTACCCACAATATTTAAAAATACGAAAAATGGGTGCCTCCTGATTTGACTGATCTACAAAATGAAACGCGTGTTAAAACTTGTGTTGCCTTGTTCAATCGGTACAGAAATGAAGGAATATTGGATCGAATTGTGACATGTGATAACCGTAAAAGAAAAATGCAGTGTCTGACTCCACGTCAAACGCCACAACGTTGTGGCCTTGTCCTAAAGCAAAACTAACCCATAAAAAGGTAATAGTAACTGTTTGGTGGTCTCAGCATGGTGTTTTTCACTATAGTTTTCTCCGATCTGGTCAAACTGTTATAAATTGTAGATCGAGCTCTGGCAACATTCTCACCGCCAACACTTGTCATTATGGCGTCGGTTGCGATAACTGTTGTGCTTACCTATGTTACCTATTATTAAGAAACAATATGTCGGACCTCGCTAATGATTATAATAAATCACCAAGTGCATTATATCAAGCTGTTTAATTTATACCACCACCACGCGTGTTATGTGAGGGACGACACAAACAATAACAGCAGATGTTTTTTGTGCCGAACTCAGAATAATGTTAAAAAACTAGCAGTAAAACAGCCCCGAATCATGAATTGATCTTCACCATTATAAGTCCATGACAACGCGAGACCTCATACAGCACGAGAAACTGTTTTGACCCTTCAGGAACTGCAGTAAAACCATTCGTCATCCTCCGTATTCGCCAGACCTTGCTGCAACGGATTACCATTTTTATCGTGATTTGGACAATTACCTACGTGACAAGAAGTTTCTTCCCAGGAGGCAGTACAAAATGCTTTCACACAGTTGGTGCAGTCTAGATCCTCAGAGTTCTATCGCAAAAGCATAAATGATCTTCCTTTTAGATGGCAGCAATGTATTTCGATCGATTCGATGAAGCAATGTAATAATGATAACTATTTTGATTAAATAAATTTGTAAAAAAATAACAATTTTGATTTTCAGTAGATACGAATCGGCAATTTCATACTTTAATCCCTATTATTATGCTACTTCAATAAAGTTTACGCTGTTATAAAACGCAATAATGTACAGGTATCTAAAAACAAAACGTCATTGTAGTACACCTTTACTAACTACCAAACTTGTGGTAAGGACTACAAAATTTTATTATTCAATATACTATCAACAATTAATTGGTAGTTTAATGTATCTTGCGAATAAAACTAGCCCAGATATAGCATTTCTTACTTATTATTTCAGACAATTCAATTTGTGTTACGATAAGACCCATTAGTTAGCTATTATTTGCAAATATCAATTATCCAAGTGAGAGATATGTAGATTATGCAAATTTTATAAATGATAGACGTTCTTAGACTGGTTATTGTTTTAAATTGGCAGGGAGTCTAATTACATGGTCGTCGATTTATGACGAAAGTCTGATTATGTGTTAATATTATAAGTGTCATTAAGAGGGCACAAAAATTGGATATGAATCAGGTACAACATTATCGGAAGAAACGTATAGATTCGAGTTATCACTTTATAAGAGAAAAAGTCGCTGTTAAATATTTATGTTTGATTTTTTAGAGTCGTCACAAATGATAGCAGATGTTATGACAAAGGCTTTAAATTGTTAAGCAAATACGAAGCATATAAAAGGTTTAGATTTATTTTAATAAATCCCCCTCTACTTTGTATTGTGTTGATATATTTTTGATCGTGTTGTACATTGTTACTGGTCTTATAGAATTTACTTATTAATCAAAAATATAAATATTAATGCCAATTTAAAATCTGTATTTATAATTATTCTCTAAATTTTATTCTTATAATACTGGTATATGTACTATAGATAACTTCAAATGCGTATATAAAATTGAACCTTTGATTTTAACATGTATATGACCACCTTATCATGCATACATGCCGTGAATAAATTGTAATTACAAAAAGCCTATTTTCTACTAAATATTTAAAGACAAATACACATTAAAACTTTTAAGAACAATAACTTACCAGTTCTAAATTCAGCATTGCTAGCGTTAGCATTGACACCCTGCTCCAGATTCATTTGCTCCTCTTCTAACGCAGCTTGCCTCAGAGGAGTCTGAGTTTGACCTTGCTCTTGGTTTAAGCTTTGGATTTGACTCTGGCCTTGAGATTGAGTCGTGTTCTCAGCCGGCGCCGGTGCTTGGTTGTCGACAAAGTTATGCAGTTGCGCTGCTAGTTAATTTTTAGATATAATTTATTTATTAAGGGGCGTGTTGTAATCGTTACCGGTTGTATAGAATTTGCTATCTATTCAAAAATATAAATATTAATGACTGTTTGAAATCTGTATTTATAATTATTCTCTATATTCCATTCATACAATACTATTCATACAATATATACTATAGATAACTATAGTTAACATGTATATGACCACCTTATCATGCATACATGCCGTGAATAAATTGTTATTACGAAAAAGCCTATTTTATACTAAATATTTATTTACAAATACACATTAAAACTTTTAAGAAAAAAAAACTTGCCAGTTCTAAGTTCAGCATTGCTAGCGTTAGCATTGACACCCTGCTCTTGATTCATTTGCTCCTCTCCTAACGCAGTCTGCCTCAGAGTCTGAATTTGACCGTGCTCTTGGCTTAAGCTTTGGATTTGACTCTGGCCTTGAGATTGAGTTGTGTTCTGACACGGCGCCGCCGCCGGTGTTTGGTTGTCGACAATGTTAAGAAGTTGCGCTGCTAGTGATATTAAGATATATTTTATTTATTAAGGGGGCGTGTTGTAAATTGTTACTGGTCGTATAGAATTTACTATCTAATCAAAAATATAAATATTAATGACAGTTTAAAATCTGTATTTATAATTATTCTCTATATTCCATTCTTACAATACTGGTATATTTACTATAGATAACTATAGTTATCATGTAGGTATGTGACCACCATATCATGTATACATGCCGTGAATAAATTGTAATTACGAAAAAGCCTATTTTCTACTAAATATTTATTGACAAATATACATTAAAACTTTTAAGAACAATAACTTACCAGTTCTAAATTCAGCATTGCTAACATTGACACCCTGCTCCTGATTCATTTGCTCCTCTCCTGGCGCAGCTTCCCTTGGAGCCTGACTTTGTTCTTGATCTTGGCTGATGCTTTGGGTTTGATTCTGGCCTTGAGATTGAGTCATGTTCTGACCCAGCGCCGGTGCTTGGTTGTCGATAAAGTTATGCAGTTGCGCTGCTACCGGAATCTGTACTGCTACGCCTTCAACGCCGGGCGTCAAATCTTGACTAATCACTGTTGATAGGAGATGTGGTAGCACATCAGCACTAGGAGCACCTCCCAAAGACATCGGAAAGAACACAACTGCATACAAAAATAATAAAAAAATCAAAAACAGAAAAAAAAATTATAACAACTTAGGACATTTAAAAAAGAAATATAAAGCTCGAATAGGGAATATTCCCATATGCATATTTTTGATTAAAAAAAGATAGTTAAATATATTTTATTACGCAATAATAATATTGCTTTAGAATAATGTCTTTGAGAATATTTTTCAATCATTATTTCGTTTTTGTCTGAAAAATAATAATTAAATAAGTGTAAAAATTAAAGATAACTTAAAAATACTCAAACGCAATGCCGGTATTGCTAGATGTCGTAAACCTATTATCTGTAGTAGGAACTGCTAAAATCTGTATACAAATTTTAATTTTAAAATCTGTACAAATATCTGTATGATCAAAGAAAATTAAAAACATTTTCATTTTCATCATCATTGCTTCTTTTGAAAAATAAGGGATAAGTACTAAGGTTTCAGTATCGTAAATAATAAAAAATAAAATAAAAATTGTACATTAATTATTAAAATAAACGTTTATTTTAGTACATTCTAAATGAAAAATATAGATTAAAACTCGTAAATCTGCAACACTTATAATTACATATCGTTCTTCACAGCACTTTCAATTGAAAGATCTGTGTTACAAAATGCACAAAAAGCAAAATATTCAATCACCTTTATTACTAGGTCTCAACCATGCCCTATAGAGAAAGAATCTTTATTAAATTCTGATGAAACTTTTGCGTTACTTTAGACTTTTTAGATGCTGATAGATTCTCAAAAAACCCAATATATATTCTAAATGAAAAATGCTTAAAATATCAGCAGCACCGAACTGCTCCAGTCACTGAGCTACCCAGGACCTAACAGGACTGGCTAATTTTTCAAGGACTTGATAGGTACTTTTCGCTGCTACACTAGCGTATATTCATCAATGTTCAGACAATTCGTCACGTCAGGCAAAATTCTGTATTAAAATATGTATCAAGTGCTTATCTGTATTACACAGAAAATCTGTATAAATACAGAGAAATCTGTAAATATGGCAACACTGCGTAATGCTATTTGTCAGAGTGGATGTGACGAAATTGTACACGGATAGGGATGTCGTTACTACAAAAACATTACATCGATGCAATCAAATCAACGCATTATGTCGTAAAATAAACAATAGGTTAGATACATGTAATTAAAATTATTTTTTAATTTTAGTTCACCAATTTGGTAAACCGATTGATTTTTAATGAATCCCATCCCGTCTCGCGGTACCTGGGTCTGGTGGAGTTTTTAAGCATTTTTCACAAAAGAATATTTATCAATATAACATTGTGAATGCATAATTGATAAAAAATAATAAACTATATGATTATATTAAAAAAAATGTTAATTCATTTGAGTAACTGAGTAGTAATCAATTACTCAAAATTATTTTTAAAATGTAATATTTTTTGTTGTCCATGTACCCTATTGACGTCACGACAAGAGCCCCAAATATTTCGGTATTTAAAGTGCTCATAGTTGTTACTTGCTAACTTCATTTATTTTTGTTGCAAATTTTTAGTTTTTCGGTACAGAGTATTATTTACAGTAATATACGATGTAAATTATCATATATAAATATTTAATAAATGTATATATAGTTAATATTTGTTTTACGTTTTTATTAAAAAGTATATACTTTGTTTAACAGTAATTAAGGCAAAGTGATTGTTGCTCAATTAGTAGAAGATCTGAACCTAAATCGACCTTCACCGGGTTGATAATGGAATAAAACTTATTATATAATTAATTTAGTATATTAGAAAATATATTAAAAATGGGTTGGCTAAAAAAATCCTGGACAGAACATTATAAATTATTTTTAAAAAAATATTTTTTTATTAAATGTTGCAACATCAAGATAATAAGAAAAATTTAATTCTGACTTAAAGTATAAAACATATAGAATGTGCAGACGTTGGGTTGTCTATTATTTACCTGGACGAACTACTGGGTTGTCAGGTATAAACAGGTGTATCGATGCCAGTTAATTTCACTTGATTTGATAATAAAAAAAAAGTATATCAACATAAGCGCTGTTTCATTACGAACACCTTGATATAGGGTTGTCTGCAAAAAATTCGGTACTAATAGGGGTTTGGGAATTTTAAAAATTAAAATTTTAACGCGTGGGAAAGTGAGTGACAGAGAGATCCGAGGAAAGTATTTTTATAACAGGTAATATGGTAACCTATAAAATCGAGCGCTGCTTTAGTAAGCTCAACTTCATGATATTTAAAGTTTTTGTTTTTACGAAAAACTAGCTTCAACGAACAATTTTTGAAAGTTTCAACAGTAAAATCATTTAAAGAATCGTCCGAACCACACAAAAAACACTTTTTAGCCATTTTTTATCATAACAATACAGAATAACATACTCCAAAATTACGTGCTCTGTTTACTATACCTCCACCCTCCATATTTTACATTCCGAGCATGCGCACTTTCATATATTCAGGGTCCGATCAGATGCGACTGCAATGTTGGGTCCTTTACTATTACACGGTATACTTTCCTCGGATCTCTCTGTCACTCACTTTTCCACGCGTTAAAATTTTAATTTTTAGAATTCGCAAACCCGTATTAGGACCGAATTTTTTGCAGACAACCCTATATCAATGTGTTCGTAATGAAACAGCGCTTATGTTGATATAATTTTTTTTTATTATCAAATCAAGTGAAATTAACTGGCATCGATATACCTGTTTATACCTGACAACCCAGTAGTTCGTCCAGGTAAATAATAGACAACCCAACGTCTGCACATTCTATATGTTTTATACTTTTAGTCAGAATTAATTTTTTCTTATTATCTTGATGTTGCAACATTTAATAAAAAAATATTTTTTAAAAAATAATTTAAAATGTTCTGTCCAGGATTTTTTTAGAAAATAATTAAATTTAAAAATTTTAAAATAATTTTTTAGAAAATAATTATATTAAAATTTTAACGCGTGGAAAACATTTTTAATATATTTTCTAATATACTAAATTAATTATATAATAAGTTTTATTCCATTATAAACCCGGTGAAGGTCGATTTAGGTTCGGATCTTAGACTAAATGAATTTGGACAACTTCTAGAATTTGGCATGACCTTTGATAAAAGCCGAACATTTTATCGGTCAGACAAAAAGAATACGTCTTACCTAGAAAGAAGGTTGATATTGACCACTCTCCTGCGTTAATTATTCATAAATCATATGTCAACAGCGGCGGACACAAAAGAGTTATAGTCTCGTCTGACTGCTATCATAATATTATTTGGTTTAGCAATTTGGACAATCATTAATTTCTGTTCGTTTTCTTGGTTTTTTATTGTGTATTACGAATATGCAAAATAAACGTATTTTTTTCTTTTTCGCAGTTCTTACACCTTATGAGACACAAGTCACTTATTGGAAATATATATAACCTCGATACAATTAACCAGAATTTCATTTGACAAAATTCCAGCAGCGATTCTACAAAACTATTACTTAAAAGTTACTTTAGATTTACCTCCTGCTTCGGACCGTTGAGCGGTCGAAGTTTGCTGAGCGGTGTTGCCACCGCCGAAGTTGCTTAGATTTCCTAATCCAACGCCTTCCGGAATTTCCTCCAAAGCCATTACAACTTCAATACCAATTTCACCTTGACCCAATCCACTCAAAAGGTTCTCAAAATCTACAATAAAAAATTACTTGAACAAAATCACTGAAGTTTGAAGCTATACTGATGGCTGATGGATTTTTTTTTTTCAAGTTATTAACACTGACTAACTAACAGTTAACTTTGGTAACATGTACACACGACCACTTGGGAACACTGAACCATGTACAAATATACCTTACCAAGTAGCACTTGATGACGATTAGCTTCATTCTGTGGAGTCGGACTCTGCTGCTGCTGATTCTCTTCAGGTTGAGTCTCCTGCTGTTCATTCCGCTGAATTGGTTGCTGACTTAGTTGTTCCTGAGTCTGTGACTCGCCAGGAGCTCTCGCATTACTCAGCCCATTGAGAAGGGCGCTCTCTAAGGGGAATGCGATGGGCACTCTGGTCTCTATTTCTAACTGATAGGTTACCGGCTCTGGCTGTATGTTTATATTGACAGTCGGTTGCGTGGTATTCCTACCGGCTGTGACGGATTGCTGAGCTGCCGATGTTGACTGGCTGTTCACGTTTGGGTCGGCAGCGTTGGACGACGTGGTAGTGGAAGTAGCTGTGGCGGCAGCGGTCGATTGTGTTGGAACTGTATTTTCGGTATCGCTTGTTCCAGTGGCAGTTGCAGCCGAAGTATTGGTGGATGTTGGCTGCGACTGTTGCCGCCGGTTGGACTCTTGCATCAAATTGATCTGCGCCTGTATTTTAAGCATTAATTCATCAAAGTCTTTAGCCATTAAATAGATAATTTATTAAGGAAAAGAATATAGGAGAATGTTTAAAATGTAACTTTTAATCATTATTAATTTCTTCGATAGTAACAAAGTTTGTAACAGGCAAAAAAAATTCTATCCATTTGTCGCTGTTTATAAACAAAAAGGCAACAAAACAAAATTTTACAAAATCACTTTTATTTAAAAAATGTGGCAAGAATCACCTTATATATTTTCTTATTTTCCAAAAACACCGATCAAAATTGACTTATCCTATTAATATTATAAAGGCGAAAGTTTGTAAGTATGGATGTATGGATGTTTGTTACTCTTTCACGAAAAAACTACTGGACGGATTTGGATAAAACTTTACAGCAATATAGGTTATACATCAGAATAACACATAGGGTACTTTTTACTGGGAAAACTTCTCACTCCCACGGGATACCGACTTCCACGCGGACGAAGTCGCGGGCGTCCACTAGTCAATTATAAAATTACATATGCCCAAATGAACGCTTTTCGCACTTTAGAGGCTAATTTATAAGCAAATTAACCAAATTTTTGTTGCAACCCAGTATTCAGAGCAGGCGCACATTTTTTGTGCTAAAAAGCCAGCCACATTTGGGAATGCGTCAGTTTTGATTATAAAAATTAATTTAGTGCTAAATTATTTTAAGTACCAAACTATCAAATTTTAGAAAGCGTCTGTTTAGCAAATAAAAAGCCGGCCAAGTGCTAATGGGAGGAATGGTTCCGTACAATGATCAATTTAAAAAAAAGTATAAATTTCACTTTTATTCTTATCTATAGCCAACTAAAGTGTGATAGTACTTCATTTTTTGAACTTCGTTATATATAGGTATTACCACCGTAACGTTTGAATTTTTACCAACGACTGTTTAGTTGGTAGGAGGAGACACTTGATTCTCCAAAGATACTCCACACTACACGAACAAAAAAATATCATCCCCAATTTGCATGCAGGGGAGGTATCCTAAACAATTTATTTTTTTCGAAATTTTACTTTACCACTTCGTCGGCATAATTAACGCGTATAATCATACAAATTTCCAACACCAATATTGTTTGACCTTGTTTACTAGAGAACCCTAAAAATGCCTAACATACTATTATTTTTATAATCTTCAGAAATCTTTTTTTTAATTACTGTGATATCACACTAATAAAAGAAGTTACAAGGCTTGTCCTATATACTTTTGGTAAAATATAATTGAGGTTTGGTAAAATATAACTATAAAATATACTTTATTAACCGTAGCTACCCAACTAAAATACAAAAACTAAGATTTTCAGATACAAAAATACAGGGTATTCTTAAATAAATAGAAAAACACGCCACTTTACATTAATTTATAAATATAATAAAGATTTATTGCTTTTAAGCTGATTTTATAATATTTGTACAAGACAGAATTTATAATAACAAGCATAATAATATTTTGTTGATTTGTTTATATATTTATATGATGGCAACATACTTTATTTTGTCAGAAAACATAAATATTTGTTTTAATAAAAAATGGCAATGGGAAAATAAGTCATATATTCGTTATTTTTCCATAAGAAATATTTTTTCAAAGTAACAATACTATGATCAAAAATATTAATTAAACGTGTTTATCATTTTGATTTATTACATTCAAAATATTACATTATTCATGTGAAATATTATATATGTTAAAGGGACTTATTTGCTACTTTTGGGTTATAGTTATAAGGAAGTCGAAATAAAAAAGAGGTAATGAATTAAAATACGCCTGAAATATATAACACTTAAGCATTACAACGAATATGTGCAAAAAAATTCAAAAGCCTAACTGAAAATTTTCAATTTGCTCTCCTCAAAATTTCTTAATTTCGACTTGAAGCCCTTTTGTTTATAAGCAGCGATGTAATTTTATTTAATAACACTAAGCATGTTAATAATCAATTGTTAAAATATAGAAGTTATTTTTATACAACATTTTATTAATACTCTATTAACTACCTGCATTGGGATCAGATGACGAGTGACTGAAGTTTCAGCGCTAAGGTACGGATAAGTTTCGCCCACAGAGAATGATAAGTCACTGATTGCATGGTACGCATGCGCGAAACTATGCATCAGTTCGGAAACCATGTCCACTCTACGTTGATGGTTTTGTCTCGCTTCATCCGTATACAGAGGCGGCTATAAATACACATCAAGTGAAAAACTAAACTTAGGTAATAATTATAAACAATGTAATTCTAAAGAATAAACAAAATATGCATTGAACTGAGCCAAAACACGCTTGAATTTTAAACGGTATATGCTGTGTCGAGTTTCCAACTATAATATACGTCCTCGTGTAGTCGAAAAAATCGTAAAAATTAAATTAAAAGTTAAAAACCAACTGAGTTTGAATAAAACTATAGACATAAGTTATCCTGTAGCCGGAAAGTCTCAGATATATATTCAATTTTATATAAAAAAAAATATGTGTATATAAGTACCTCAGCATCATTGGCGGAACGCAGCAATCTTACGTAGGTAGCACGATACGGTGCAAACTGTTCCTGCAAAGACTCCAACTCTTCGATGAGCTGACCAAGGTGAAGTGGCTGAGTGTGCCAGGCGCGCATGGCTCTCCCCGCCCTATGGTTCCTTAAGTTAGGAAATAATAACAAATATTATAAAAAAGTAGTGATGAGTCCGAGTAGGTATTTATACTGTTATCACGCCTCACTCATAGTCAATCCTGTTAGGTCCTAAGTAGCTCAGTGGTTAGAACAGCCGGGATTGCGAAAGGTCATAGGTTCGAGTCCCATTTCAGGGTGCCAGGGACCAAGTGGATTTTTAAGCATTTTTCATTAAGAATAATTATTATAGTTTTCAATATTCAATTATTAATCATAAATGTTTCACTCGGTTCGTCCGGCGAATAGTGGTGTGCGCAAAGCAACGACGTCTATCTCCCTTATTCATTTGACACCGCGCTACATACTCATTCTCTTTACCTCACATCAAATACCTCGCGAGTACCTCATGAGGTAAAATGAGGTCCTCACTCATCCTCAATAAAAACGTGTGAATTACAAAAGACTATAACAAAACTGTCATCAAAAAATAACTTCAAATTAAAATTTCAAAGGAGAATGGTCAAATTGATCCTGGCCTATCCATGGCCAAGAATATTAAAAAAAAAAATTATGTAGGCTACAAATACAGTGGAGTTAAAATATACTTAAAAGTGGATAAACTTATTTTTATTTTTGAGGACGACATGATAATTGAATAAGTATCCTAAATATAATAGCATTGTGAATGCAAAATTGATCAAGTATAATAAGCGTCAGTTTAGAGTAAAAATGTTAGTTAAGGTGAAATAAAAAATGAAATTTTATCAGTACCAGCACGTATTGATTACTTAACAAGCTTTCCACCCTAGGGAACTGTTTATTTGCATATAGATTTATGTCATGACACATATATAATTACAATGACAAATTAAATAATCAACAATGGCTACTATGGCAACCTTTTAATAATTATCCATATAAACTTCCACTTCCATTTTCATCCCATTGTTTACTGTTTTTCGGGATAAAATATAACCTATGTTCACCGCATATAATAACATATTACATTATTAATGTTTAAAATAATTATTATGTATACTGTTTTATAAGAAAATCCAGGGCTTATTAGTGTTTATTCATGTTTTATAATATCACTTCATTCCGCTGCTGATAATCCTATTTACGGCTGGATTTTTTGATTAACATATGGAATAATAAATACATCTTGCTCCTCAATATACTCACTCACTCAACCCCTCGTTTGTTGCTCTCAGATCACCTTAATATTATACGACACCTGTACAAGATGCTCCGCGTAATAACTACGGGTTAGCTTGATTTAGTATGAACCAAAAGCAAATAAAATAAGGTTTTCTGGGGGTTTTGAAAGTCTTCAAACTGATGCTGATCACTATCTTACAATCGTTGCTCTTTGTCTATTTATGTTATTACGAGCAACAAAATCCGCTGGGTAATTTGGTCCGTTTCCGATTTCGAGTCCGGTCCGTTCCGATTTGGTCCGTCGATATCATAAATGACCATTTGAATCGCAAACGGTCATTTATGATATCGACAAATGTGGGCGCATTCATACTGTCCTGGATGAGCTCCTGGAAAGCATTAATCAATAATGCTAATTCGAAGTCCACAAACATATAGTATAAAGCCCAATTAAATCCCGCTTTAATCTACCGTTTATTACTTCTACCACCCAGCGGCATATTGTGAACAACCTAGACCTATTCGCTTGTTCGGTTGTGAGCCGATCGGCACCGCGGCCTTTAGTTTCGGGCATATAAGCCGAGTAATTGAAAAGTTTGTTAAATCGCTCTAGACGTCTCTAAACACGCGATCTAAAATAAAAATATCTCCAGATCAAAAGTACCAATGGAATGTACCTTCCTCGCCATGCACCAACCATTCTTTGTACAATTGAGGTATGGCAGTACATAGCCGCGTATGACCCACAGACGTCTAATATATAGACATCCAGTCACAATCAAAAATGCAAACTTATATAAACTATAGGTTTCTCTTTGAAACGAGAAATTGCAGTTTTTTTTTTTTTATTTGGATAAAATCATATGTTCCGTCAAGTATTATTCTATTTTCGACTGGTGCATTTGCATTTCCAAATAAAGCGTTTGGCATGTACAGGTTATGTTCAATCACCAGTTTGATCTTTGTGATCAAGATCTAGGTGTCTAGAGACGAAATCGGCCGGTAGACAATCTCTTACTCTTTTAAGTGTCTCTCTAGGGTTCTCCTACTCATTTGAAACAGCGTTGCTAGCCTTTCATTGCCTTTGTCACTACGTAACTTCATCAAATAAATAGCTAGAGCGGTTTTTGAGTTCGAATCTGACTAAGTAGGCATTTCTCATTAAAGTGTTCTCGACTGAAACCGAATTCGACCGAAGTCGAATATGCATTTTTGTGTTTATTGTGAATACATGATAGCATTACCTAGTCCATCCAAATAATAAATAATTCACTATGCGATATTGTTCTATGCAATTACATTATTTCATCAATGGCCGCTGATAGCCCAAAATCCGCGCATTATCCTTTTAACAGGAAAGTAACTATGGCTCCTAAATAAAAAGGGTAACACGTTTTGAAGTAATTAGGAATTTTCTATAGTTGTTAAATGTAAAATTTCATATTTTGATATTGTAAACGTTTCTATTGTAATATACAACGATAGTTTTTTGTACGTAAGCAAAACTTGACAATCCTAGCCCCATCATCGAGTTGAGCGTAGGCTCTTGTGAATATGAGGGTATTGCGAAGGAGGCCCGAGGGGACAGCTTTGGAACTAAGCCTCAGGAAGCCCAGGTGAGAGGCCCGGGCAGCACTCTTAACAAGAAGGCGGCAAGGGGATTGGAATCGCGTATTGACGCATTCCAACCCTCTGTGGACCGGCGGACAGGGCTGACACGCTATCCGCGCCCCCATGGGATTAGCCTGCGGTGACGGTCCACCATCTGGAAAAAGGCTGTTGGGTGATTACCCAAGTCTTTTCCTTCCCGCAGAGGGCGACCCTCACAAGAAGAGGCCCAGCGTGGCGAAAGAAACTGGGTCCTCCTTGCAGGATACCGGATTCTTCTTATCCACGTATGGTGAACCGCAGCGGGTTTTACCAGGTAGGCCTTCCACATTAACCTGCCCTTGTCAGGGCGAGGTAATTGGAGAACCTTGGTTTAAAAGTGTGTCTGTCTGTGGCATCGTAGCTCCCAAACTGGTGAACCGATTTGGATAATATTTTTTTCGTTAGAAAGGTGACATAACCGAGAGTGTTCACAGCTATATCTGATGAAAATCTTTGCAGCCATTTGAAGGTCATCAACTCTTTTCCGAGATGATGTAGAGGCAATCATTCATTTATAGGAGTCTTGGTACAATTATACTGCATTGAGTGAGTTGAAACTTTATACATATCGCACGTCAAATAACACGATAATAATATGGTGACCTCCTGATGCTGCAACCAAGATAGTTGGAAGAGTTACTAACTCCTCGAAAACTAACAGCAGATATATCTGTCTAGACTCATTGAAAAGGGTTCATAAGCTACATGCGCTTTACTAAGAAGAAGAAGCTGCTTGTTTAATTATTTGTGCTATTATTAATTGAAAAGTATGGAGTGATTTTTTTTTTTAATTTTAAACACCCGACTCTAAAAGAACCTCTATAAAGAATAAAATAATATGTAAAAGTAAAATAACAAAATTTGGCTTAATTATAGTCGGAGACTGTTTTAATGTAATTTAAGGCTCTTCGCCACTTTTATTTTAAAGATTTTAGAGTGATTTTTTGGTGGGTTTTTTATTTTCATTGATAAGTAGGTACACTCAAGAAATAAAGTGATTTAGATAATATAGTGTATTCTATCGTTGTTGTGAATTTTTTGGCTTTAGATTTGAAATCACATTCAAGGGTAATATTTCATTATAACATCAATATTATATACCTATACAAAATATATTTCTTATCTATCAATAGTGGATAGGTAACGAACACTTTATTATTAATATTTTATTGATTTGTAATTTATATAAATGTTTTTGTGTTAATTGGTAAATGTCGTTCTAAATGGGTAAAATTGTCTCTGATATTGATAAAAAAAAAATTTGGTTCACACATAATATTATCATTTTATTTTAGTTTTAATTTTTACCCCGATAAAATTTGCACAGTTGACGCCATTTTGGGTTTACTCTCGTTCCGAACACTGTACATACATATGATTGCCCTCTGTTATATTCCGTGGCTACAGGAACAAATGTATCACGAAAAGTAGGAGTTAAGTCAAAAACACTGCTATTTCCTGTTGTACAAATGTGATTTTGTTTATGTTTGATAATCAGTAGACTTGTAACCATCGTTAACATAAACAGCTTCACACCCGTTCCGCGCAGATGTTTTTGAACATCACCGTACAATATAATTATTTCAAAAAAATGTATTTGTAATCTTTTTTATTAATGTTTTTGACAATACGGATACGACATACGACAATCAATAATTTTAACAAATACCCCAATGTTAACGTTGTCCTTCAAAAAAATACTACGGTTTGGATGCACCATAACACTTAAAGTTGAACACACATCCTTACCTACGACGAGAATGGAAACGAATCGAAGACGTCTCAGGAAAAACTTCATCGCCATTTTCATCTACGTCTGGCTCTCTCTGTGATAAAAACATATCTCAATTATATTTCTAAAATGTATAAAGTTCTTGATACTGGCATATAGAAGATACTCAAAAACTTTAAAACTATTAGATAACATGACCTATAGGTACCTTAGATTATACCTCGTGTATTAATAAGTTCTGAGACAAACTTATTACTGAAAAATTAAAATAAAATTTTACTGGCTGTTATTTTTTTTACCGATTTTGAATATTTGTTATGTTAACTTATAGTTTGTTTGTATCGCAAATTTATTTATTTATATTTTCTCGTTATGGAAAGAACGAAACAATTACGTGCAACTGTTTTTTCGCTATTAAAGGCGGAATAAAACCGATACAGATTTTCCGCGAGCTGAAAAGTTTTCCTGTAAGCCGTATCTTCATCTATTACACAATACAGCGGTACAAAGAGACAAGTTCTCTGCAAGATCGCCAAAGGACTGGTCGGCCACGCTCTGTGAGGACTTGAGGACTGCCTGCGAACATCAAAATCATCCGAGAGCGATTTCGCCGATATCCATGTCGCACTCAGAAGAAACTTGCTCTGCAAACTCATATTTCGCGCGGTTCAGTGTACAGAATACAGAAATATGAAGGTAAAACCTATAGAAATAGAAATGTTCAATTTATAAACGATCGTCTTCGTAAGTTACGACGCGAATGTTGTCTATTGATGCTGAGGAGACTTGAAGCCATGAAGATACTCTTCACCGACGAGAAAATTTTTACTGTCGAAGAAAAGTTCAACCGACAAAACAATAAAGTGTACGCTCAAAGTAGCAAGGATGTTCCAGCTTCTGCACGGAACGTTTCGCGCACTCATCATCCAGCTAGTGTGATGGTATGGTGGGGAGTTTCGTATAAAGGTATCACTCCGCTCCATTTCTGCCAACAAGGTGTCAAGTTGAAAGCCAAGAATTATCATCTCTTTATGGCTTAATTGACATTAAGAGCCCGTAGTGAAATTCCAGTCTAACACGTTATTTCACAATAAGGATCGGGTTTTTTAGATGGAGCCGAGCCATCCCATAACGCAAAAAACACAAATGCTTGGTTGAGGGAGAATGTGCCTTCATCGCGGTTGTCGAATGGACCTCCTCCAGCCCCTACCTCAACCCGCTGGATTGACACTGAAGCGACTGAAAAAAGTTTATGGACTGAATTAGAGCTCAGGGTCTGCCGAAAGTCCCACCCAAACTTGGAGTCACTGAAGCGAACCCATGTTCGAAAAGCAAAGCGAATTCCGCTAGAAAAGATTCGCGCCGCCATTGATGATTGTCAAATCGTCCAAGGGCCTGTACAAACTTAGTGTGTAAACAAGGGCAGTCATTTTGAATAAAATACAAAAATAAATAAATTTTAATGTCGATAATTATCTATTTAATAGTTACTGAAAATTTTAGAAATACAAGTGATTTATCAAAAAAGTGACGTAACTTTTATTTCGTTCGGGAACTATTGGTTTGAAATGATTTTTTTTTTTTAATTGAATAGTCTATTAATTTGAGTTAACAATTATTCGAAGTTATATGAGATAGGTGTCACGTGTTCCCGCCACTATTGCTGTCTATTTTTATCTTATATTTGCATCACTTTCATACCTCCACCGTACCACCTAGGCAGTGCAGTGGGGCAGCCATTGCATGCCGCCATTTTATTCTTCATTGGCGTCTTAATACATAATTTATATACATATTTTAAAATAAAATAATTACAACTAATTTAAAATACCCTATCCTACGCATAGCGCTTAATAAGTTTTGTACGTAAAATGCTGGACAGCGACGACCAGAACGACATGCCTTCGGGGTCTGTTGTGCCGCCACCGGTACCTTTAACGCGGCGACGTTCCCACACCTCAGAATCCAGTTCCAGTAGCAGTAGTAGTGACTCTTCGATTTCCTCTTCGAATTCTGGTTCTCGCAAATGGAGGGGTCGGCAGCGCGACAAAAAAAGGGGGAAGGAAACGAGGTCGTCGCTCAAACCGTAAATTGGATGAATTTTATAAGGAGTTGAACCTTTTACGTGAACAAATGGCTGCGAATAGAAATGATTGTTTTTCTGATGTGAGTAGAGACCTGTATAATGATAACGATCTACACTCATCATATTCTTTACCGGTGGCCCCCACCCTCGTATCAAATGAGAAATTTAATTCTAATATTCAAATTCAAACTTAATTAAAAGAACTAGCCAATCCAACGACTTCCGATTCGGATTTGAAACTGTTGCATGATTTTCAGTTGTTGGATAATAAATATTGGTCCGAATTGCGATATTCCGATACTCAGAAGTTGTATTAACACAGTCCTGGTTTTATAGATTTAGAAGCGAATGAAGAGATTAAAATGTTCAATTCTACTAAAAATTTAACATATGCTGACAAATTGCCTTGCCTTGACGAGAAACGTTACAATCCACCATAACAGCTCTATTAAACTGGGCCAACAACTCTGAATCTATCAAGTATGAATTATGTACTTAAGGAAAAAATTTCAATTTTATTTTCTGATAGTGATTTGCAAAAAAGGTCGTCTGTGGTCATCGAGCCGAGGTGATACAAAGTCGTGGAGACTGTTTAATAAATAATGTCAAAGACCCTCTTATGAAATCCACATTTAAAAAGATACCCCCTTCTTGTATGAATATTTTTAATGGAGAAAGCTAGCGGGGTCAGAAAGTGTTTTTGACCTGTTAAAAGAAAAAAGCAACTAATTCTATCTCACAAGCAGTATAGATAGGAGTTTCAAATGTACCTTCATGGGATACATCCTATACTGCGGCGCCCTCACAAGGTACTGTTTATAGTAATTCTCCATTCAAGAATGGGACCGCATCACATTCGCATCATGTTAGACATCTCCTCGCCGCAGGAGTATCAACACATAAACCCGCACTCAGGGGCTTCATCTTATCAACGAGGATCCTTTCAAGGGCATCCTCCCAGACAAGGTAAAAATCTAACGATCAGTACAAAAATAACCGAAAACGAGCCATGTTATCCTCTAACAGCGGAGGTACTAAGAAGCGAAGATATTGATACAAACTCCTTCAGAGCGTGTCGTCTAGGTCGTTATTACAAGCAATGGGAGTAGATGAGAGCTCCAGATTACCTACCAAAGATTATTCAGGGGTATCGTATACCCTTTCGCTTAAAACCACTTCTTGTTTACCCCAGCATTCACGGAAAAGCATTCCACACTCCTCAGTCCGAAGAGATGTCAACAGAGATAAACCAATTAAAAAGACAAGGTGTTCTGAAAGTAACCCATCTTTCCATTAGTCCCGAAGAGTGACGGTGCTGCTCGTCCCATTTTCAATTTAAAATCGTTAAACGATTTTGTTATGAGGGAAAGATTCAATCTTATAAACATATTCCCAGTGCCAGAATTTCTTCAGCCAAACGATTATCTATGCAAAATAGATCTATGTCAGGCTTATTGCCATTTGAAAATAAGCCGGAGTCACAGAAACTGGTGCAGAACTTACTCTTCGTTGCAATCAAAAAGAAATGTTAGCAATCTTACACGTATTAAGAGATCACTGTCTGTACCTGCATCATTCCACAGTTCTGATTCAGTGCGACAACAAAACTGTTATTGCCTACCTCAGGAATCAGGGAGGTACAAAGTCAAATCGCTTGATGAACTTGACATAGCAAGTGTTTCAGATCTTAGACCTGGGAGATGATGTAATTTGAGGTGTATTTTCAAATACACCTCAAGTTACATCATCTCCCAGGGAGGTACAACAGTCATGCGGACCATCTCTCGAGACTTCGAGCGCCCCTAAAATGGCATCTACTGAACTCGTGTGTAGTGTTTGCAAAGTTCGGCACTCAAGTGATCGATCTATTTGCCTCTCAAAGGACGCGCGTTGTCTCGAATTAAGTGACCCTAGAACTAACGATCATCGAGTTGCTTTTCACGATGCCTTTTCAAGGATATGGGATTACCCATTGCTGTGGGTGTGGGAGGGTGTGTCCACCGCCATTTCTAGTACCCAAAGTGCTGGCCCACCTCAATCAGGCTAAAGGCGTCTATCTCCTAGTGCTTCCACGGAAGATGGTATTCTGGCGGGCCGACCCGAAAGCACGAACTCTAGCGGCACCATTTACCTTACTACATCTTGACAAGATGTTGGTAGATGTTTCGACCGGTCTACCCCCACATATCCAGGAAATAGTTCTGGAGGTGTGGAAATGTGAGGGTGGTTAGGGGATATAATGGACTGGAATAGCGATCAGATCAGTATATTGCAATCGGCATGGAAATAATTTACAAGTAAAACATACAGCGTTGCATGGAATAAGTGGCTAGAATAGATAAGGCAACATCACATCAATCTGAGTTGCCCAAGTGGCAAAGATTTGGCAAAATTTCTCGCAGATCTACATATTATTTACATTTTTTTGTTAAACGCTATCCTTTTGTAAATCGGCAGTTTCTACACTTTGTAACTCTTGCATTGCCGGTCAACTAAATTCTCATGTTGTAAAATATGTTCTAAAATCTATAGCTATAAAAAAGCCCATAGTACAAAAATGCCCCGTCTGGGATATTGATAACCTAGCTTGACATTCAGAAAAGTAAACTGTAAATTGTGATGGTAATATTTTTCAGATTTGTAGACACACAGCAATATTGTTATTACTCTCCTCTGGACGAAAGATTCATGACTGAACTCTATTGAACATCGATTCTAATAACTGTTTGAAGTCGGAAAAATCAATCATTTTCTGGCCAATATACGGGTCTAAAACTGATTTCTCTGACTGCAGACAGTTCGCTTGGAAGCGGTTAAGTCAAATTAATATGGACGTTCGAAAAAGGTAAGTAAAAAACGCAAAAATAATGATTTTTGCGTTTTTTACTTACCTTTTTCGAACGTCCATAACTTACATATTTCTATCTTATAGATAACTTATCTCGAAAAATATCACATGAAAATATGAAAATAGGAATGGAAGTTTGCATAGGGTGGGTATACCTACTCGTAAAACGTTATCATAGTAACAATTATTTACTATTCAATTTGTCATTGCAATTATAATTCGTATCGTGATATGAATTATTATCCAAAATCAATTATTAAATTACTAGCTGTGACGCACGGCTTCGTCTACCTGCTCCAAGGGTGCTGTGGGCACTGGCCTACTACTGAGTCTCAAGTTACTCTTAATTATCGCCAATCGCCACTTTAAGTTTTGTACTAAATCTACTGGTTAACTGGTAGACAATGCCTTTTTGACATTAAGTCCGCCATTTGTTTGTTTCACTGGACAATTAAGAATTTATTAAGATTAAATAGATTAATAAAAAATTTGCCAGCGCCAGTAAATATCTAGGGTTACATCGTCATCGCTAGCTTATCAACTTCTTAACTGCAGGGGCAAAATGGCATAAAAGTTTTGTGATGAGAAAGAGATTACTTGAAAAAATGTTATATCAATTGCTACAGATGGCGCACCGACTATGTCAGGGCACCATAAAGTTTTATGGCATACTTTAAAAATTAAATTCTAGATGTTCTTGCTGTACCACAGACAATAATTACTTGCTAGTATGTGAACGACTATTTTAATCACTGGAATGTCATCAAAGCAATCAATATAATCCGTAACAGTACATATTTATAATTTTCGAAAACTAATTATGTTACCATTCATTTCACTCTAGAGTAAACCAAATACAGTAGTGTAATTGAAATTAGTTTAAACTATCCAATTAGTTATTAAACCTTTGCTACACTCTCGTCGTGCCTCGTGCATCGATCGGATCGAAACCTACAGTTTTTAATGGTTTTCCTATTCTACAAAGTGACATACGATACAATTCCAGTTCTATTTTAGCTGGGTTTTCGATCCGTTTTCGATTCGATTTAAACAAAATTTATTTAGTAGAATTGGCCCCCTGAGTACAGTCTGCCGAGAGCGTTGGTTGTGTGCGTTTATATACCATAATCCACATAATCATTTTAAAAATGCCATCCTGTGTTTAGTTAAGTAAGTCGTCTAAAGACTAAGTCATAAAAAACAGAGTAAATTCTCCAGTTACAAATTGTATAAAGATCTGTCGAAGATTATGTAAGGTACAGAACGCATAACTCGACTTAAATGCCTACGCTCTACCTTACATTTATTTGAAAATCTATATGAGACTAAAACTCCAAAACTCCGGGGTTTAGAATCCGAGCATCGAAACCTAACTCCGGAGCTAAAAAAATTCTCAGATTCCGATTTTTCCTCGTAATATTATATATGTTATAGTTAAATCAGTGTCACACAGGTACACTGATATAGCTATAACACGGGCAAATAATACGTATATACACTAACGACAAAGAGAAAAATCCCTGGTTGGCTGTATCATTGATACAGCCATATTTTTTTATGCGTGGATACGTCTATGTATGAATGGATATATGACTAATTGATAAAAAATAAATAAATAAACAAATTGAAGACACTAAACACTAAATAAATAAATATTCGTTGCGTTCATTTGTTGAATGAAAAAGTATTCACTAGCGCCAATAGATGGCGTTAGTGCATATACTCCTGCTGACAGAATGCCCATCCCCCTGCAGAGCAAGCATAGTTCACTTATACGCCAATAGATGGCGTTAGTGCATAAGCTCCTGCTCACAGAATGACCCCCTGTAGAACGAAAACATAGACGTATCCACGTCAAAAATAACAATGTGAGAAATCAACATTTTGAATTGAACTCTTGATCGAAGTCTTTAACTCGTTTAGGTAAAAGTAAGCATTAAACACGCATTAAATTATTATATATCTAGTCTGTGACGTGTTCAATTATAGTCTATGAATAATTGGAGAGAATCATTCCATGTGCATGTGTATGTGTATATGCTGGGGATAAATTTTGACATCGTATTAGTACTGACATGATCTATCTAACCTTTTTTATTATAATATTAGGAGTTAAAGTATGAAATTGCCGTTTTATTGTAATAGATTCCTTGAATTAACATAGAAAACATATAATTGTAATAGGTTTCTTGAATGAACAAAGTTTGAGGTTTAAGAAAGAAACTATTTTCTAATGGTTACTGTGATGTTCTTCTTTTAAAAAATGTGAAACATTTTAATATCAATTTTAAATTGTTTTTGTTATTCAACATAGACAAGACGAATTCCACTAGAAAAGATCGCGAATTCCGCGAAAAATTCGAGTGACTTTTGAATACGAGTTCCGACGCGGAAATAACGCGGCAGAAACAGCCCGCAATATCAATTTTGCGTTTGGAGAGGGGTCTGCTAATGAACGCACCGAGCAATTTTGGTTTAAACGCTTTCGTGATGGAAACTTCTACTTGAAGAAAGAGCCACGAGGAAGACCGCCCACACATGTGAATAACGATGAGTTAAGAGAGATGGTGGAAGCCAATCCTAGTCAAACTACCCAGGAATTAGCGGCACGGCTTAACGTTACCTTACTCACAATATTGATTCATTTGCGTCAAATCAATCAAATAAATATATACCAAAACTGGGTGCCTCATGATTTCACTGATCTGCAAAAAAAAACGCATGTTGAAATTTGTGTTGCCTTCATGAATTTGTACAGAAATGATAGAATATTGGATACAATCGGATGTGATATGTGATGAAAAGTGGATTCTTTATGATAACCGTAAAAAATGCAATGGCCGACCTCATAACCAACGCCACAACAGTGTCCTAAAGCAAAACTTACCAATAAAAAGGTAATTGTTTGGTGGTCTCAGTATGGTGTTATTAACTATAGTTTTCTCCGATCTGGTCAAACAATAACGGCAGATGTCTTTTGTGCCAAACTCCAAACAATGTTTGCAAAACTAGCAGTAAAACAGCCCCGACTCATAGGTCGATCTTCACCATTATCGCCCCATGACTACGCGAGACCTAATACAGTACGAGAAATCCTTTTTACCTTTCAGGAACTGCAGTTAGAAACCATTCGTCATCTTCTGTATTCGCCAAACCTTGCTCCGAAAGATTACCATTTTTTCGCGATTTGAACAATTATCTACGTGACAAGAAGTTGTCTTCCCAGGAGGCAATACAAAATGCTTTCACACAGTTTGTGCAATCTAGATCCTCAAGAGTTCTGTCGCAAAGGCATAAATGACCTTCTAATTAGATAGCAGCAATGTATAAATAATAATGTTAAATAATGGTAATTTTGATTAAAAAATAATCAATTTTAAAAAGAGATAATTCTAGGAAATATTAAAGAATTATTTAAAGAAAAGATTATTATTGAAATATGTAAAATTTTGTAACATACATCATTTTTAATAAAATAAAATTAAGAGTAAAATCATCGCCACTTATTATATACTGGGAGGAACAAAATGACCGACACAGCCAAAAGTTTCAAGTTAGGTTACATGCAAACGTTCATTTTATTTGACAAATATTTAAAAATAGAGGTGTAAAAATTGAATAAAAAATTTAAATTTCTAAGTGTTGATAGCCCTTTAATGCGCATGAGCAATATCAATTGTGTGCAGATTACAACGAACCGCGAAATACATTAATTTATTTATATTATTTACCAATATCTTAATGATAGTCGATGCTGAAAATGTCCACTTCCTCTCTGAAGATTGAGCTAAGCAAGCTCTTTTCAATGCCGGTACATCACATTTCACGCAAAACTAAACACAATCTTCACTAAACTAAACTTAACACTCAAGACAAACACTCTAGTATCTTAATAACAAAAATTCAATTAAAAATGCACAAAACAAAACAAAAATCGTCAAAAAAGACGCTTCGCAACGGTGCGTCGGCGGCGATGCGCAACAACACTCCAGCGCAAAAGGTCGGCGGCGACTGATCGGCCGAAAAATATCAACAGAATAATGAAGCCGCCTGGCGGGCGGGTGGGGCTTTGATATCGAGGGACGAACTCGGTTCACATTTTTTTTTATTCGTCTTTTGATATCACGCATTTTTTAATGTTCTTTTTAAATGCTATTTTAATAACAAATTCCTCAATGTTTTTAAAACAAAGTTCATTTGTGTTAATGATGAATTGCTGGATCCCGTTGTTAAAGGAGTATTACCCCATTCAAACAATTTTTTTGGAGAACTGCTCTTTTAAAATAACGTAGGTTAATGTTAGACTGATCTCTCTACAATAGTTTAGGAAATTTTACACTCGGTTTCTTAATTGAGAATTTAAAGTTAAACGTCTCAAACTAACATCACTTAGTTTTCGTTTCCGATTTTGTTTTTTGATGATCAGTTTATAGCAGTTTGATAAAACTAGGACTATTTGACTTGTGAAATAAAAAAAAAACTTAGGTTATTGAGAATATGCAGTAGAAATTTTCAACTTTTTTCAAATCAGAAACCGGCTGTTAGTCTGTAAATCGATTTAAGCATTTTGACTGCCTTGTTTATTGATTGTCTGGTAGAATTTGCATGAAAGCAGTCTTATAAATCACAAACTAGTTTTTTCGTTTTTAGAAATGAAGAAGTCAATGACCGATTAAAAACTTTTCCTTAGTACGTCCCAAAAACAGCTGACTCAGGGTTGTAAACATTCATTTTTTTTCAAAAACTTTGTAATATAATATCTCTGAAACTATTTGACCTAAAATTATATTTTTTTTTACATCATATTAAAGACAAATAGTACTCTCCAGGAACCTCGGGAGTGTCAGTCGTTCTGTTCCACCGAGTATACCTCGTGTATTCATAATTTTTGAAACGAAATAAAATTTGCGTTACTTTTTTAATAAATCACTTGTATTTCAAAAATTTTCAATAACCAACAATAAAATAAATATTTTATTCAAAATGACCGCCTTTGTTTTTAATACAGGCCCTTAGACGATCAGTCATCAATGGCGGCACGAATCTTTTCTAGCGGAATTCGCTTTGCTTCTCGAACAAGGGTTCGCTTCCTGACTCCAAGTTTGGGTGGGACTTTCGGCAGACCCTGAGCTCTAATTCAGTCCATAAAGAATAATCCAGCGGGTTAAGGTCACGGCTGGAGGAGATCCACTCGACAACTGCGATGAAGGCAGGCACATTTAATCAAGCTTGGGTGCTTTTTGCCTTATGGGATGGCGCCAAGTCTTACTGAAAAAACCAATTCTTATTGTGAAATAACGTATCAGACAGTGGTTTCACCACGGGCTCTAAAATGTCACTCTGGTAATTCTTGGCTTTCACCTTGACACCTTGTTAGCAGAAATGGAGCGAAGTGACACCTTGTTAGCAGAAATGGAGCGAAGTGACACCTTCATAAGAACATCCCCACCATACCATCACACTAGCCTGTTGATGAGTGATGAAAAAATAAATAACAGCCAGTAACAATTTATTTTACTATCTCAGTAAAAAGTTTGTCTCAAAACTTATGAACACACAAGGTATGATGGGAAAGTGTATCTGTTTGTTGTTCTTGTTATTGAATATCCCTGGAGTACCTGAGGGAAGTATTAAATATTTTTACTTTAACAAGTCCGTATTCAGAATTGTATTTGACAATGACAATGTCAAATTGCGGAAAGCAGAAAGAATCTACAACAATGTCTTCAGACTTAGCTCTACTCTTCTCCAATTTGAAACTGAAGTATCTACTCAGAAGTGTCAATGTTTATTTATATACTCGTATATTGAATAGTTTGTGTATATCTAATAATTGCAAATGAAATAATTATTCACCTATGGGTATGTTCCGATATACACTGCGACCACTGAACAGTATGACGTCAATTTAGTATACTGGAAGCCCGTTCCTTTATAGCTAGTTATACTGGTGACTTTTTAAAACGGAACGCAGTCCAGTATACTGATATAATCCTATTTTTGGCGCCATTTTCAAATTTGTTAATGCAAGGTGAATATAAAAAAGATTTCCTCTTTTCAAAAGAAAATGTTATAAAATTGTGCATAAAAAAAATATTTATCAATTAAATCCATCTTATAATAAACTTAAGTATTTTTTTTGTTTATTTAGAAACTTATCATTTTCTGATTCTGTTTCGACTGATCACGTGATCAAAAGCGCTGCGAGCACCTTGCCTCGAAATCTCCAGTGCTCACAGTACAAATATGGCGGCAATTTATGACGTCATAAATTTCCCTAGGGTGCTGTAGCAGTGTACTGGCAGTCCATAACGGAACGGATTTTTCAGCAGTAAGACCACTGCGCAGTGCTCGCAGTGTATATCGGAACATACCCTATAACATATCCCACACCATTAATGTTACATCAACAATTGTTGTAAAATCCTACCTCGCCAGTAATATGAGCTCGAAGAACAGCTAGAGAAGCCTTTATTTCTTCGATCATGCGGCTTAGGATCTCAAGGCGGATTGCAGTGGGTGACATCGACGCCAGGTTTTGATGATCCATTAAAAAATCTGACGCTCCTCTCGGCAATGACTGAAAGAAAGGTTTTTTGCTAATGCATTAATTAGGCTAAGCCCAACATTTGCTTCTATGTTAGGCTTAGCATTCTATGTTAGGATGCATACCATCTAAACATTGTAGAACTCACAAAGCAAACTTATATACACAACTTACGCTATACATAATCCGTCGTCTTTCCTCTTGCATAATATCTTCATTTTCTGAATCATCAGTATTGGTGTTCGAGATCTGGAAGTAACGCCTTCTCGAGCCACGCAACCCGCTACTGTCACTGGTGCTACCATCGCCATCGCTGCCGTTACCCTCGGCGGATCCACTGCTACTGCCATATGCGATCCTGCGCCGAGAGCGCGGCGGAGCACGTTGCACCAAGTGTACAACCTTCCCGTCGATATCTAGGTAATAGATAAATATATAAGGGTATCAAATAAATAAATTTGAATTACTAATGTGAACTTATTTTTTATATCAATTAGTTATTTACTCGTACTACAATTACAAAGGTATTATTCTAAAAAGTATATTATGGTAGTTAACTGTACGACCATTATTAGAGTTATTATGACATTTGAAATCTAATTATTTTTATATTCAAAGTACAGGCAAAGAAATTAAATTAATTCTTTGAACATTTTCTATTATGACTGTCTGTAAACAAGCCATGTGGGTGCACAACGGATTGATATTTCGGTTATCGCGCATCTTTAGCAGATAGTTGTTAACGTAGGTTTAGGATAAGAGCAGGACCAATTTCGTATATGTTCTCTACAAGGCAACGGTATCCAATATTTTGTTTAAGATCCCGTGAATAACACTTCTTGACCCGAACCAAGAATTCGCGCAAAAATATCAATGTCTAAATCTTGTAAACTTTTTATTATACACTTGTTGACTTTTTGGACTCATTCCATAATTCAGACACCATTCCAACACTTTCTGTTTGTTACTTTGTAACGGAGATACGTCCACATAATTTTCAATAGTTCTGGCAACTTTTATGACATCTACAAATAGATATGCACTGAAATATTTAATGCTGTGTACTAAGTCATTGATGAAAATTTTAAACATATTAAATATTTTTTTACTAATTATGTTTAAAATTACTACTCTAAGGAACGTCTGTAATTTAAATGTTACTAGTTCTAGCAAGAGCTACAACCAAGATAAGAGCCAAACCACATAGTACGGACAAAACTACTAAAGCCACATTAGTCCAATTTCTTAAGAGCCATATGACAAATTTTCACTCTGTGATTTGAGTTCTCGAGAACTTGTTCAAGGTCACGGGTCCACAATACTGTGTTGAAACCACGTTCAAGCTATTTTGATACTTTTCCCAATTTTTGTATTTATTTTAGTATTTCTATGGTGAGATTCATTATCGATTCCCGAATATTTTAAACGACTGCTCTCGAAAAGGAGTCTATTGTTTTTAGAATTAATGTATGTATGTGAGTATTTTTATTGCACCATAACTTTTGAAAGATATAACGGATATGAATGTACAGGGTATCATTAGAAACATCATCCTAAGTTACCACAAAATACATAGAGTATCAGTGAAACTAGCTTAATTATTAATATTAAATAGGTATGGGGACGTGTGACGCCATTTAAAAAAGTATGTTTTTTTATAATCATAACTTTATGGGTATCAAATTAAAGGTCCATTAAAAATATATAATCTGTATACAAAATTAACTGCTCACTAAAATGAATAAAATATAAAAATTATTTAAAAATTAAAAACACGACTGCTAAGATCGGACAAAAATTAAAAGAAACAAGTTTAGCCAAATCATAGGCTATAAATATAAATAGCAATGACAATATATCAATAAAATTATAAATATTAATTAAAAAATATTCGTGCCATATTTTTCGTCGACGATTTCGAAATATTTTCGTCATCCATAGGAAACATGGACTGTTTCCTGTTTGGAAAAGTAGTAAATTAGAATTATATTAAACTAGTTGTGCCCGCGGCTTTATGCGAATGGAAAGTAACCTAAGGTTCTTTTCTCATGGCTAGATGCGATGTTATTCGATATGAATGAACGATATCACACGAATCGCATGCACTTATAAAATGTATGGAAAAACTCAAGTGTTTGCTCATGAGATTGTACTATCTGTCAATATAGGTCACAAATCTCATGGTCTGCGGTATCACTTCAAATTTATGAAGGTGGTAGAACGCTCGATCTGCTTTTGATTTTCTGTTCAATAATATCGAAGAACGATTCATTTGCTCATACTTACCATATCATCAAAATATATTGAATTTTACAAAAAAATACGGCAATATCCGTATATAAACAAATGAAAAGCTCGATGGTGCCGGATAGCTAATTTGATCTGCGATTGAGGAGGTTAAGCGACGATTGCAAAGGCCGGCAATTGGATGGGTGGTCAATTTTTTGGTGGTTAAAAAAAGAGATAAGGCAAAAAGAGCATATAAGAAACGTCCAACTAACCGCAATCTTATTCGTTTTAAGGTTCTTCGAAATTGCTGCAGTCGTATGTGTAGGGATGCTAAGCGACGCTTCTTCCATAGCTCTCTTACTGATCGCAATCCTACTGATGCCTGGCGGTTTTTGCGCTCTGTAGGAGTGGGGAAATCTACTGCTACTGTGTCTACCAATGTAGATTTAAGCATCCTTAACAGACACTTCTCCCTTCCTCCTTCTACTATTGATGGTGACATAAATGATTCTACGCTCGCAGAACTTTCACTGGTTCCGAGGCCAGACTGCACATCTTTTGTCTTTTCAAAAATATCCGAAACTGACATTAAAAATACCATTCAAGCCATTTCTTCCGAGGCTGCTGGCGAGGACAACCTAAGCGTAAGAATGTTTACCCCTATTTTATCTTTTCTCCTTCCTATACTTGTTCACATTCTTAACTTCTCACTTGAATCCGGTTCTTTTCCCAAAATTTGGAAGATGGCGCACATTATTCCACTGCCTAAAGTATCTAATCCTTCAGTCCCATCTCATTTTCGTCCTATTTCTATTCTTCCCCTTCTCTCTAAACTTCTTGAGCATATTGTTCATAAGCAATTATCAACTTTTCTTTTTTCTAATTCCCTTTTGAATAGGTACCAATCTGGTTTCCGCCCTGGTCACAGTACTGTAACAGCTTTAATAAACATTACTGATGATATTCGTTGGGCTATGGAGAATAAAGCTCTTACAGTTCTAATTCTTCTAGACTTCAGCAGTGCTTTTAATTCTGTCGATTTTGACATTCTTCTCGCTATTCTTCGTTCTTGCAATATCTCTCCTTCTGTGCTCTCATGGTTTGATTCCTACCTTCGGGGACGCACGCAACGTGTGCGTCTTGGTAATAAATCTTCTGATTGGTGCGACCTCGGTGCGGGTGTTCCTCAGGGTTCTGTTCTCTCACCTCTCTTATTTTCTATTTTCATTAACTCGGTTACTAAAGTTATATCTTCCAACTTCCACCATGCAGACGACTTGCAGCTTTATCGACACTTTAAAATAGATGACTGTAACTCGGCACTGGTAGCTATTAATAACGATTTGGATCGCATTAGTACTTGGGCAAAATCGTTTGGCCTCATGCTTAACCCGAGTAAATCTCAGGCCATTGTGATAGGTAGCAGGTTTAATATTAATTCTATTTCTGCATTATCTTTACCACCCCTGCTTTTGGATGGGACTCAGATCGAGTTAACAGACACTGTAAAAAATCTTGGAATTACAATGGATTCAAATCTATCATGGACTGCCCATGTATCTGAGGTTAGTCGTAGGACCTTCTTCTCATTTCACACACTTAAATGCCTTCAAAACTTTTTACCTTTTAAAACTAAAGTGTTACTAGCACAATCCTTAATTATACCTCTTCTTGACTATGCAGATGCATGTTACTTGGATGCCACTGAGGAGTTATTAAACAAACTTGAACGACTTCAAAATCTAGCGATTAGATTTATTTATGGTCTTCGTAAGTATGATCATGTGTCACATTTACGTAAGCAGCTCATGTGGCTTCCCATTCGTCAGCGTAGATATGTCAGGATTGTCTGTCTTCTGTTCAACATCCTGTATAATCCCGTCTATCCTTCCTATCTGCGTGAGCGTTTCTCCTTTCTCCGTTCTCCTGATGCTCTTTGCAGATCCCACCTTAAGTCTTCAAACTCCTTCACACAAAACGGATTTTGCTTCATATTCCTTCACTGTTCATGCTGCTAGACTCTGGAACTCTTTGCCTGCCGATATACGTGACAGTCGCACTATTTCTGTGTTCAAAAAAAGAGTAAAGGATCATTATCTTTCCTGTTGTTGATATTGGATAGTGTAGGTATTATTAATCTTTATATATTATAGATATATATATTATTATTTATATAATGTTTGAACCGTTATGTATTTTTATTTTCTCTCTTTCCCGGTATTTGAATTTGTTTTTTTTATTCCATATTAATTTATTTAGGAGGTACACACTGACTACCTTATTGTATTTCTTTTTCCTGTTTTGGGCCTGCTGGTAGAAATTTCAATTTGAAATAAGCAGTGCCCTTGTACTAATGTCTGTTACATTTGTTCATATGAAATTGTATGTGTGTACAAAATAAATAAATAAATAGATAATCCAACATTTTGTGGCGGCGGCCATCTTGTATATAAAATTTTGTCATAGTAAACAGTATTCTACTACTCAAGCCCTTTTATTTAATGTCCGTATTGAGGGAGTCGTGAAAAATATGTAGGTAATCCAACATTTTTGGTGGCGGCCATCTTGGATTTGAAATTTGTCATAGTGTTCAGTATTCTACTACTCAAGCCCTCTTATTTGATACCCATATTGATGGAATGGTGATAAAATATGTGATCCGACATTTTGTGGCGGCGGCCATCTTGTATCGATTTTCATCAAAGTGAAGAACACTCCCGACTAATACACCTTTTAAACAAAATCAAAATGGGTTCATCCGTTCGGGAACTATGATGCCACAAAAAGACACAAACACACCACACACACACACACAGAGACATGTCAAACTTATAACACCGCGTCGTTTTTGCGTCCGGGATTAAAAATATATTGAATTTAGAAAAAGTTGTTTCATATGCGGATCTCCGATAAATTTGATATCGGTCGAATTGCATCGAGCCATAAGTCTAAGTTAATCCTCATTACGTAAGTCAACTTCTAGTGAAAGTCTCTTCAAAATCGGCCAAGCCGTTTCAGAGATTAGCCAGAACTAACAGACAGACAGATAAAATATATTATTTTTGTATATGTACCATGTATACACACAAATGTATTTAGTGAAAAGCGGTTATTTTAATATTACAAATATGCACTCCAATTTTATGTACTAGTATAAGTGTATTGAGAGAAGAAGTACCTTGCTTTATTTGCATTTCATAATATAAATATATATTTTAACTTTCTTATACAAATATACCTAGGGGTCTTTCGACCTATGCTGAAAATAACAAATGTGTATTAGAAATAATTCAATAAGCTATATAAATTCCATATAAATCGAACTTCGTGACCAAAGTTGGAAGTCCCACTATACTGCTCTATTTACGCTCGCTCGAACGTATCTAGATCGAAAAATGGCGCGAAGAAATGCGACACAGGTCTAACGTTGAGGAGCGCTCGCGCGGTACTGAGCTCAGACGGCCGCTGCATCTTATTTTGTAGTGATTTTGCGTTTACATTTATCGTATTTATTGAAATAATATAATAAATTTATGCTTTAAAATTATAATAACTTTGTTCCTTATGAAATAGTCATTAATCTGGCATAAATTTTGTTAAATAATATTGTTGTGGCTAAGAGAAATTCAAAGTTAACTTCAAGCAATTTTTGATGTTTTTTGGTTTGTAATATAATTGTTTTTCTATATTTAATCAGTGCTATTTCAAAATTTCGAGCTACTGTTTACTTTACGACTATATAAGAGATATCATTCTATTTCTTTTATTTCGTTTGTTAAGAACAGTAGCTCAATCCAGGACTTCAAAAAAGTGTCTTTGCGCATTTTATGAAAAACTTTCTCTGGTATTTTGGATTTAATTAAAAAGATGAGCAAAATTTCCAAAAAGTTGAGCCACTAATTTCTATACCAAGAGTTATTCTTCACTATTCAACAAGTCAAAATTGTTAATTTGTTTTTGTTTCCGAGAAAAATCACGCAGAAATCACAGTTGCGATGTAATATGGCTCTTAAGCAAAACATCGTGATTGTTACATAAAAAATCTAAATTTTTTTATCGAACATACTATTAATTACTATTATAGTGTGTTAGTTTAATTAGCTTTGCATTGATGCATATACATCATGGGTGGTCAACCAGTCAATCGCGACTATTAGTTCAGTCGATCATAGCAAATGCGTTTAGAGCAAGCCTTACTCTTTAAAACTGGCCATAAATTACAATCATTGATGGCCAGTTTTAGAGAGTGTGCAGAAACATGGTGTTGTTAAAGGTCTTAACTACCTTCACAAACACAGGAGGTTTCATTGTATTTATCAATAGCCCAGACATAAATTTCAAAAATTAATAAAAACTTTCCATATTTCTTTTTATATCAGAAATTATAAAAGCCAAAAATAGCGGTTTCTTTTCCCGCGTAAAGCATGCGTTTCAAAGTTGGCAACACCCCACATCGGTTTTCGCGGGCTGCATGATTTCCTCATTTAAGTCATTTACTTCAACAGGAGAATGCCACAATAATTGATGTTTAAATCCGCGCAGTATACAAACATTTATTTTCTTTTACTTTTATAGGGGACCCCGCCAAGGCACGCTTCGCTACTTTAGTGTACCGACGCGAAAATAAGAAAAGTCGATGAACAACATATAAAAATGACGGATTCGAAAATCAAAAGTAATTTTTGTTTATTTTTAATTCTAACAGTATTTATGGCCAGACTAAGTAGAAGACTTTGTATTTTCATCAGGGTATTTTTTTAAAGTAACAAATGTTCAAAGCATTCTTACACTCATTCAAAAAACATAATCAAAAATTAATAAGCATACCATAACGAGATAACTTCTTGTCATCTTGCATAACCCTACCACAGAAGATAAGGCGTTGCAGATTGGTCTCGATTCCCATCTGCTCTCTTACTTTCTCCTTGAGCTGCTGCACTGTAATCTGAAAAAATCATACATTTTTATAACAATATAAAATAATAGAATAAATATCGAGGTTACAATATAGTGTGGAACTGTTTAAAGAGCAATAATAACATCTTTTAATATGTATTAATAAAGTAATGTACCTATTTATAATACATTTAATTGTACAAACTACTAAAAAACCTGTAATACAATACGGGTGTAGACAGTAAACGAAAAAAATACATATTTTGTTTTTTCTGGTAGTGTTTATATATTATTACCGATAATCATACTTTTATGATTATTATATTTATATTATTGCTTAAAATATTATAATTATGAAAAACAAATTTTCATGCTCGTTGTCACGTGACCGCAAACATCGCGTGACGTCACGACCCTCTTATTCATATCACTTAAAGAATTTAAACTTATGCGTATGTACATAGAATGATATTCGTTTTAGAGTAGCGTAACGTCATAGCGATGCCATGAAAAGTGGAGATTTCGTGGGACCTTTAAAAAAATGTTTTTTTTTTAGATTTTCACTTATTATGTAAATGATATATTTTTAAATACTTTTTTTTGATTTATTTCATATATATCTATAAAATAAAAACAGAAAAGTTGTGTACATCCCTATTATATTAAATTTAAACTGTGTAAACAAAAACAAAGAATAGTTTGTCGCCCAAGCAGCATAGAAGTCAAATAAGAGTAGGTAAAATGAAATAATAATAAGCAGCTAATGTCTTCATAACCTTTCTCATTCTATAACTGCTGACGTGAACGTGAGCTTTATTTTGATTAAGAGTTGTGGCAGGGTCGATGCTTAGGCAAATGAATAAAGACCGACTAAGCTTGAGAACTTGATCAAATTAATGGTAACAAAAAAAACCTTTTCTTCAGGTTTGGTGAGTACTTTAACTTTTTTTATTTGATTGGATATAGTATACATTTACTAGAGGTAATAATAATTAGAATAATTTTAATAAATTGCTATTGATTGAAATTAAGTGTGTATAAAGTTTCTTACTCGACGAATATTGACGACTTGACATTTATAAAGAGCATGTTGGATGACTTAACATTTCAAATTACGAAAAGTGAATAATTAATAAAAGTTATGTTGTAGATCAGACATAAAGTTTGCATGCGGAAACCTAAGGACTTTCTATTAACTCCCTAGTAGCAGAAAATTAAGAATACTCCGTATATAGAGATCACTAATTAAAAAGTAAAGGGGATATGCGTAAAATATGTGAGAAAATTAATCAACGGTAATGAAAAAATAAACCTAAGAATAGAAAAATATATGCAAGATGAACAACCCATGAAAATCGTTCACAATAGATTTTGTGAGACTTTTTTGTGCGCACTAAAACGTATATAAAACAGTGTTATATAAAATAATATATACGCAAAATTTTCTCTAACAGTAATTGCGCGTTAAAATGTAATTCCTCGTCTCCGATTTTATTAGCGCAAGTAACACAGTTTCTCCAAAAGTTGGTTAGCTGTGGCTTAGGCACGTTTATTATGTAAAGAGTCAATCACACTTTCATTAGCAGAGAAAATTATAAAAATAAGTGTATTGTAAGTTATCGGTATCAAACATTAATTTCTGCCTGGAGGTGGGCATTGCTTGCGCTTCCTGGATCAGAATACAGAATTCCTTCAATACTCAGTTACTTTCTGCATAATAAACTTCTTCATATTTATAAAGTGTCACGGAGGTGACATAATTAAACATAATTCACACATAGTAATTCATATTTCTAATTCATAGTTTTTTTTATACATTCCAACAGTAAGGGGGTTTTGCACTACGCTGAATTTTCAGGTCCAGCGGTCCGATATTTTCCGGTCCGATATGTAGGTAATGCTAGCCTGTAGGTACACTGTCAGGAATTTTACTGTTCTCTATTCCGGGCCTGTTCTTTCCGTTCCGTGATGGCGGCAATGAAAAACGTGTTTACGCTTGTGCACTGCTGTGTCCGAGATCCGGAAAAGTAGCCTACGGAGTAGGTTTGGAAAAAATAGTCGATTTATGAAGAATCAATATTTATTTCGGCGATATTGTTGTATTAATTTTCGACCGAGATTTATTAATTTGTTAAGACAATTGATTAGATAAGTATAACCTCCTGAGAACCACCAAATTGTTTATCAAAAATATAGTCAAAAACTATCTGGGTTCATTTATTAAGCATCGTAAACTCTCAAAAAAATAATAAAAAAAATATCTGTCTGTAGTATATATACAACATCAGTTCTGTTCACCTAAATTAAGAAATGTAGTATATTTACAACATATAAAATATTTTAAGAAACTATATTATTTATATAATATATTGCCTGTGTAAAGGCTTATATAGTGTATTTTTCAATAAAACACAATTTTAAATCACGTAACAAGGCATTTATTTACTAATTAGTCTTAGTAATCTTTTACAAATCACAGTCAGCAAATTATCTCTAATATCTTAGATATTTTTGTACTTTAAATCACAGTCAGTAGATTTACTAAACAAGAAAATATTAATGTAAGTTGGTCTCGATATAATCTCTATAAAATAAACGTAGTTTTAACAAAGTTAAAATTAAAAAAAAAAACTGTAATGACTTATCAAAAGTTTGGTTGTTGAAACTCTACAAAACAGTTTTGTTTTCTAGTACTGCACGAAAATACATTGCATCTGATACAGTAAGCAGAAGAATGTTTTTTGCAATTAGAATTTATAGACCTCTTTTGGGTTTGAGAATTGCTGTCTCCCCTAAAGTATAGCCTTGAGATCTGAGCTCCGGAAAGGTAGTATCGCCTTGGTAAACTACCATATCACAGACAAGTCCGTAAGTATATATTTTGAAAATTATTTTACAGTCATCTTTAACTCTTGCCCTTTATTTAGAAGATATTTTCTGTTTGTTGCAACCAGCATCTGTTCAAGAATGCATAATTTTTTTTTGAAAAATCTTTATCTTCCCGTGATTTTGTATTTAGTAACCAGTATCATGGCTGGTACAAAGGTTTTTCTAAAGGAGAGCAATTACCGGTCTATGTATTATTAGCGGCTGCCGATGACGGTGTCGATACTGCGCTTTATTCTCGACCAATTCTGGTTCTTGCACGGCCTCTGGGTCGACCACCACGTATGCGGAGTCTACCTGCACGATTACTGGAGGTATCAATTACAGAAAAACAGAATGAATTTTCAGAACCCGGGCGGATTCCATCTTCTGAGCCCGGAAAATTCGAAGATCCAGGGTCGGAGTCACTGCTACCGGCATATCTTGCTGAATTTTTTGTTATCTTCATCCGACAAGTCAATATTAGACTCCTCCAAGATGTCCATTATTTCAGTTTCACGCAAACCTATCAAAACAATAATAAATAAGTGTTAATGTTTTACGTTGTACAGTTACTACATTGCTAATACCGTGAACACACACGTCGTTGGGAACTTATGTATTACTAGTACAACATAAAGATTTTATGGTTAATTTTGTGGGTACTATCCATTACAATGATTAAAATATTGTGTAACTCAGAAAAATACATCATACCAAATAAATAGTTATTAAAATATTTACAAAAAACATAGTATTTCATAATAAATCCAACCAAACTTACCACGCGGTTTCGGTACCGACGCCATCGTCCCCGTGGAATGAATGATAAAATAAAATCTATGCCACTTCCTTAGCCAATCACAACTCAGTATAGCGGACAGATATTTAGACTACCCAATAAAATTAAAAGTACGAGCAGATTTTGTTAGATGGCTCTATAAGAATTTTTTCTTTCTATGTTATAAATATACTACCAGTTCACTCAGGAGGATAAATAAATATTTGGATAACAGAAGTATTCTAAAAGAAAAACAATTCTGCTCCAACTAAAACCCCGGCAAAAGCTAGTACCTATATATACCTATATATAATGAAACCAACTGATCTTACGAAAATTATATTTAAATCATGGCATTAAAATCTTACAATAGGATGGTTGATTTAAATGGCACTGTAAATTTTTTTTAGCGTATTTTTTCTCTCCTTAAACGGCAATAATTTCGCTTTGTTTACGAAATGGCGTCTACAATTGGTCTGTCTGTAATCGCTTGAAATTGTTTCAAGGAAAAATTTCAGGATTATAAATTTAAAGATCAAGTACGAAAACATTTACGAGAGCCAGAAGACTAAAGTGATGAACGTCATCCAGAAATATAACAAGCTAAAGTGACAGTCGCAGAACCGAATCTGTCACATCTGTCGCAGAACCGAAGGAGGGTAGACGGGTTCTCGAATGGAAATCACGCCTCGGCAAACGTAGTGTCGGACGCCTCCAGACAAGATGGAGTGAAGACCTCAGAAAGGTGGCCGGTAGTGAATGATGACAGCGGGAGATCGTGTTTTGTGGCGCACTCAGGAGGAGGCATAGGTCCAGCAGTGGACTGCAACAGGCTGATATGATGGTGCAGTCCTCACTTCGAACCTGAATTTCAATTAGTTTGTTGACTATTACATTAGAAATTTCTTTGCTCATTTGAATAACATCACCAACGTAATTTGTTTTAGTTAAAGTAAAATACTCCAAAACGTTGAATTTTTTTACTTCGTAATTGGCTCCTCTATGGATTAACCAGCATAAGTTAATACTTCGTCTCACGAAAGAAGTCTCTCGGATACGGGATTAGATTAGTTACGGGATTTCTTCCGTGATACAGACTAGTTAGAATAGTTTGTTGTTGTCGTGTGCATAGAATTAATAAGTACTACGTACAACTAGAATGCTTACTGTGCGTCTAAACATGCGCCGAGTGAGAGGTCATAAATCTTGGTTTGTCCCTTTCTAAGTAGTGTAACCATTCTTACCTGAATACATTGGACATTAAAAGAAAATATTGATTATTGAAATTGAATAATATTAATATGAAGCAGAAAAAAATCTTATTTAATCTCAACTCAACAATAATAAATTTTGAAACTATGGAAATCAGCAATTTCATAGGCAGACCTCCCTCCTCCCCACTG